TATATATATATATATATATAATAGATAGATAGATATAGATAGCGAGTGAATTTTACATGCAATGAAATTCAAGAATGTTGCAATTTCTCGATAATCTCACACGTATAAAATAAAATATATTCTACAATTTGGTTTACAATCATGTCCAAGTAGAAAAAAAAAGTGCAATTGTCATGTAGAAGGGCGATAAAATAAAATTCACATTCACATGCCGTACGTTATCGTTCTCTCCTCTCCCCATGGGAGATATACAAAACACACTTGTGTATCGATCTAAGTAATATCATTGACCCCAGTTGTTAGATTAGGTTAGGTAAAGCAAATTCTGCTCCTTTCTCTCGATCGCCCTCATTTCATCCCTTTCACCGTGCGCGCGCGGCGCGTGCTCGACATCCATTCATCGCACAGTTGATCGCCGTTACTACGCGGCACGCGCTACTACTAATTTACTATCCGTTCCGAAAATCAAAAAACCTCGACTCTTCTCCATAACCTACGTCGACATTTGTGACGCGTCGTGACGCGACCGCTTTGTCTGATTTAACCTGGCTTTGTCACTTGTCAATTATTACAGAGAGATTATGCGCTGCAATCTGGATCAACTACAAAAGAAATTTAATATTTCTTACATTACTCCAACAACGAATTTGCTTGATATTTGAAAAAAAAAAAAATTTCAAGGCTTTTGCAAGATTTAAATCCTCGTTTTCAAGGTCTCTCTCTCTCTCTCTCTTTCTCTCGGGCTTGAGCTGCCTGTGAGCATATCGCGGCATCGCGTGTGTGTACATACATACGACGTGCATGTGCGTGTGCATTACCCTTACGACTCCTACGAGTTACGAGGACGAGACGAGACACTGCCACTTGCTGCCACTTGCCAGTCGTTCAGAGTTTCAAGATGGAGAAAAAACAACGCTGCGACTGCTTTCGCGCAAAGTCGTTGTAAATACCTGCTATAAGCCTCATAAGAGTACACGGCGATTGATCTATGTACTAGTTTCCGCGTGAGATCGACGAGAAAGTGTAATGGCGAAATCCGTGCTAAGTTCGGACACGCTGCCAAAGGCGGGTCGTGTAAACGAAGGTGAGGCTTGAAGATTTTTTTTATTCTTTTCTTGCCCACACTTGTCTCTGTGTACTGTAAGCTCGATTCTTTATTGCATGCTATCAGAGTCTTTCCTTCGTGTTTTCACATTTACTACATACATAGTTGAATTCAAGTGCAACAAAGAATAAAGCAAAAGATTCTCAAATTAACGAATGTGTCTCACTTGAGGTCTCATCTCACGCGATTAGTCATTGCATTGGCATTCGTAATGTAAATTTGTACTGTATTTGTGTGATTTTGCAGTATGCCGCGAATGGTTGGTACACGAGGATGGAGCATTGGCTTATCGACTTCAGGATGAAGAAAGTACGCAAAAAATTTTATGCATACATATTCATCATGTTAATCATGTAGAAAGTAGATGCACGCACGTATAGAGAATGCTAAATTTGTGCAAGGTTGTCTTAAGATGCAATCAATTGCTGTAGAGTGATCGAATTTGTCACTTTAGAAAAAACAATACAAATTTTCTTTGTCAATTAAAATTATGGAATTAATTTGAAAAACATGCCATTATGTGCCAAAAGGAAAGAAAAAAAAGGAAAAGACTTTAAAAAGCTTATTAAAATAAAACTATGTGATATAGCTTAAGATATGCCCTAAAGATTTTTGTCATACTTTTGTAAGAATATAAGACGAGAAGATATCAAAGAGAAAAAAGGATAAATATAATTGTATATAATATTTGTGAATTTTTTGAAGGCTGAAAAAATGGATAGGTTAATGCTCTGTACAAGATGTAGAGGCTCAGAAAAGGATTTAAATGCATATATATTATATAAGATGTCTGTATCTGTTCTGTCAGTACCTGTAAAAGACTTTAATATACAATTCTCTGTTATGATTTATAGTCAAGGAACATTATACTGGTAACAAAACCCGTAATGCACAAGTAAGAGAAGATGTGCCACGAGCCAAAGTTGAGCAGGAACTGGAAGCATTGAGATATCAAACTTACGTTCAACAACAGTTAGTAACATTGAATAACATTATTTAAAGTTTAAAAATTATTTCATAAAGATACTACTGTTTTAAAATATTCCTTTTTTTTTTTGCAAAAAGGGAAGAGAGAGATGCGCTTGTTGCGAGGCAGATTGCACTTTCTCTGGAACGAGAGGAGAGACAGAAAGAGCGTGAATTGCAAGAAATGATGAGATTACAATTAAGATTGGGAGATGAAGCTATGCAGCAAGAATTTGAAAGACGTATGCAAGAAGAAAAAGATGAGGTAGTCACAATATTTTGTAATTAAGTTTCATTAATTGACACTAAAGTGGTTACATAAATTTATATATAAATAATAATAATAAAATGTATATAAAACCTAAATATATATTTATTTAAGTTTTATATATATATATATATATATTTTTTTTTTATTTAAGAAAAAAAGAAATGTTTTATTTGTCAGCGTAAAAATATAAGCGTTAAATCTTGTTTTATATGACAGGAACTGGCAAAAAAGTTGCAACAAGAAGAAGAAAATTACGACGATCCGGAAGACGAGCGAATAATACTGGATCAAAAATTGGCGATGGAGGCGCAGGATGCTGAATTGGCGCGAATGCTTCAAGATAAGGAGCGTGCAAAAGCTCGTAAAGCACGAGAGAGGGCGAGACAGAAGAAGCTAGAGCGGGAGCGTCTGCAGCAGCAGCAGCAGCAAGCAGATGAACAGAATCTCACAGAATCTCAAAGACCTCAAAGACCAGACAGGCTGGACTTGAAGACTCTGTCAAACAAGAATCGAACTCGTTATCCTACCAATTATTCTCAGTATTCGGATCCCGAGGAAATCCAAACGTTGGACAATCCCATTGACAATGTGCGAGAAGTGGCAAATGTCGCGGCCATTATAGATCCCACTTATAATATCCATCGAGGTACTTCAAGCAGTTCGAGCAGTACAGTAAGCCCCACTTACGTTTTGCCGACGCCACCCCAGGAATTGATGGCAGATGATGTACCATGTTACATGCCAATTCAAGGCCAGCGACGAAATCAGACTCAATCACCGTCTAACGCGCACGAGGAGAAGCACAAGCGACGAGTTAAAGACGGATGTAAGCATCAGTAAAAGAGACATCATAAAAGTTGAGAGAAAGATCAATATTTTTTTATAAAAAAATTCGTTTCTTATCTATTGCCATCAAATAATGATATAAATTAATGAGCAGAATTCATCGTATTGAGCAATATTAATGATACATTTATTTTATGTGTGTGTGTGTGTGTGTGTGTGTGTGTGTGTGCGCGCGTGCGTGTGTGCGTGTGTTTACTTTCGCGACATGTGTGTATGAATTTTAGATTTTACAATGATTTCTTCATATTAATAGAATGTATTGCCATATGTTATGCGATAACGTAAACTAATGCCATACATTCCACAAAATCTAATGTGCCTTTTAAAGGGCATTTAAAGAAATCTAAGAGCTTTAATAACTTAAAAAATTAACGAATTACTCATTATCAGTAATAATTATAATTGCTGATATTCGAATGGATAGATCGTATTGTGCTCGATTTTCTTTTTACATTTCTCAGTAACTGATATGTCTCTCTAACACACTGGTGTATTACATACACGTATATGAAATATATAAAGACTAGCTAGTGTAAATATGTTCAAATTTTGGATATTTTTAAATATAGAATAAAAGGAAATGATCTTAGACAATCAGAGAACAATTTGTAAGAGATATATTTTTCAACTTGATGCATTTATATGTGACGAGAAAGCAGTGACAGTGTACAAATATTGATCGACTACAAGAATTGTTATAGAATCTCATAATTTACGTTAATAGATCAAAGATGTATAGAGCATTAAAATTAAAATGCGTGAACAGATGAAAAATGCAGAAATTATAAAAACTTTTCCAAATTATGTTTCTAATACGTTCAAACTAACTCTAACAAAACACGTACATCGTACGTTTCCGCTACACATCGTTCAACCCTACAAGGATTGTCTATAATATTATGTTTAATTTGTTAATAAATCGCAATTGTTTAAAATCCTTTTGTATTTAATAGAGTAGAATGTAAAAAATAAACAACACTGCCAAAGATAACAATAATAAAGGCCTTTAAAAAAAGTGTTGATAAAGAAAGTGTGTACCTATGCACACATTAGTGTGTGTGTGTGTGTGTGTGTGTGTATGAGGGCGCGCGCGCGCGCGTGTATAAAAAAATCTAAAATCGAGTCTTATATAAGCAATGTATTGCAGTATTTTTTGAATTTTGAAATATAACCAAGCTTCCAAAATGCAGATATATTGTCGATTATAATATATTGAAGGGAAATGTTAGAGAGAGAGAAAGAGAGAAAAAATACAGTTATTACAAAAAGTACAGTTGTTACATTTCGCTTTCAAAAAAAAAAAAAGAAATAAAAATATTTTGAAATTACCTTTAATTAATTTCGAAGTAACACATTTATAAAATGCTTAGAATTTATTTATTACTAGTTCTTTGTCGTTATAAAGGATATATATATATATATATATATATGGATTATTTTATGTATGTATGTACTACATGTATTATATATTAACTTATATAAGAGCTATGTTCAGAAGAATAAAAATCTCTATTGATAGCTTTTCAAGCAATATTCTATTAGAATATATGAATTCTTTTTATATTATTTGTGGTGAGTGGAATTTTCTCTCGTTTGATACTATCATGTATTACCTTTCTTTTACATTTATTGTATCAATACAACTATACATGAGTATGATAATAAATTATTTACAAAGATATGATACATTTCTTGTCTTCTCGCCGAAAATATATAAGAGTGTGTATGTATTATATTAATATATGCAAAATATGTAGCAAAGAATCCTGTGCTACAAAATGAAAATGTAGAAATACTAACATAAAAAAAACTAATAACTGACAGAAAATATATTTAAAGTGTATGTATAAACGGAATGAATGCTATTGTAATGGCCAAAGAAAGAGCGTGTCGTGTGTGTGTGCGTGTGTGCGTGCAACGCAATCGTTTGATATTTTGACATTTTTTAATGATAATTTACCATTTATAATATTGTTTGACATGACTCATTGAAATCTCACATACACACACTTGTCAATTCGTACAATGATATAGAAATAACGCAATATACCTCTCGAGATTGGACGAAACAATCTTTTTTTTTTTTTTTAAATGCAACTTGGACATGTATGATGTGTAATTTGAATTGCAATTTGCAGGTTTACAAATCTGATAAAAATAATTTTTGAATCTCTAAGTATTGAAAGAAAAAAGAAAGATACTTCTTCATATAATTTCAACATCGTATTAGGGTATATTCCAAATATCGCTGTTGGAATATTCGATTATCTCCCACCATGACTTAAATTACCCTAACACAAATTCTAATCTAATTCGGATTAGAATCTAATCAGAATTAAAGAAAATTAATTAATTGGAAAAGAAAATCAAGATACTTTCCCTAATTGTTATTTGAAACAAATCTCAAGTTGTTCGCAAAGAAAAAAACAAGATCTTGATCAACATTACAAATAAAATAATCGTTTTAATTTTCTACTTTTTAGAATACAAGTGTTAATTAAATCTTTCAAGTTGAATTTTTGTTTATCAGCATTCGTAGTTATTCGTTTTACCAGAGAGATTATTTTGTACTGTATTTTTTGACCAGAATAAAGACGTACTGAAACTTGTAAGAGTTTTAATGGTCAACAATTTTTACGTATGTAACGATTCCTAACGTTTCACGTATCATTTTATGCCTGTAAGTGTTAAAAGTGTTAATGCTCTGCAACGAGTAATCGTTGCCGTGCCGCGCTTTAATTGGTAGAAGCACGTAATAAAGAAAAAAATATTGCGGTGATAAGAAAAATATGTGAAATAAATTTATAAAAAAAAGTGTATTGAAAGATTTACAAACTTAAATACGCGACAGAATTCTGGGAAATTTTCAGTTTTAATCAAGATCTGTTGTATTTTTGGATCGTTTAGATACAATAAATTTTTCGCGAAATCGCGATCCAAAATCATTTTTTACTAAACGAGCGTAACGGCCGGATTCGATGCCATGAGGTTTCTCTGAGAAGACAGCGGGCCGTTGATCTCCTTCCTGATAAGGACTCGGTATAAACGAGCTTATTTTTCTGTGGAAAATATAAACATAGGATATAAATCAACTTGTTTATCTTTTACTTTTTCTCTCTTTAATAAAAAGAGACGAAATAAAGATGGTTAAAGTTAAAAAAAGTGAGAGAAGTGATTGTATCGCAAATTAATTAAAAAACAACAACCTACGATGATGTTGGTCCGAAGAAATATTTTTAGATCTGGTTTGGGGCGGTGAGAACACATAATTCGGGACTTGTCCAATGTCTGTAAATTGAAGAGCACGATCATCAAATCACGTGTTTAATATTTGAATACCCGCTATTCGGATAAGTAAATAAATAGAATTACGTCCTAGCTTGTACACATAATTAAGCGACTAAGCGATTTTATCAGTAGGTTCATAATTAATTTGTGTAAAAAATTGATAAACATTGAATTCTTCTTTTGAGCGAAAGGAAGAGAGAATTCAAAGGATAATTTACAAAGTGCAATCTCTCTTGAAGCAATCCTCCAGAGAGAAGAAGAGATGTGACAAAATATTGACAAAAAAAAATTCAGTTTGTTACGAGATGTAAGAGTTGCCTGCAGAGCGTAAGCTGACTTGGAGCATTTACTTGGCTGAAGCTGAAGCGCGGTCTATTTGTTAAGATTATACCTTTCTCATCTAACGGCATGTCGTCAGTCTTCTCCGGCAGCGAGAAGGAATAGAGATTGCTGGATTCTTGACTCATGCTGGTCTTGCGCGGTCTACCTCTTGGTCTTGGCTTCACCATGTCTTTTTTCGTCTTCTTGATCGTGCTTGTTACCGTCCTTTTTCCAGACGCTGAAATATCGATATCATTCTCCGCAAGCTCTTCCGCTATTGGCGGCACCATCGCGTCAACGCGATTTCGAACTCTCCTTTTCATCTCCGTGTGTGTCACATCCGCGCTGGTCGCTCTTCTCTGTCTGGCATTACTCTGTACAGCTTTCTTCCTGGTGGCTCTCGTCGTCTCCCTCAATGACGGACTCAAAATCTCCTCCAATTCTTCCGGCACGGACAGCACTGACGTGCTTCGAATGCGCGCGTTTCTCGTTAGTCTACCGACGACAATCTCCCGCGACATCTCTCTCGCGGCGGAACTCCCGGATTTTTCCGAATCGTCCGGAGGCTCGGCGACCTCTGGGATGATTTCGTTGATAATACTACTGGACCTACGTCGCCGTGATCCTATGCCGAGTCGCGCCGTCATCTCCTTAGGTACTGAACTACCGCGTTTCCGGTAGTTTGTTTTAATGCCTGGCTCCTTTGTAGTCAAACGCTCCTTGTCGAAATCTCTTGTAGATGATCTTAATGATCTGCTTGTCGATGCAATACTACAATCCGTATCAGACGATACCGAAGACATTCTCGTGCGCCGCAAAGACCTCTTGTTCGCATTCTCGCTTCCTTCCTCGTCGTCACTCCCCGTCTCCCTCGCAAAACTCCTCTCTCGCGAAGCCAGTGGCACGTCCGCCTGTAATTCTTTTCTTGCGAAAGAAGCGAGTCTTGTGCTTCTTCTGACTGGTAATTCGTCTTTGACGCTCTCGGAATCGCTATCTTTCGTTTCGAGATCCCGCGGCTGCATCTCCTTCGCAATGGACGTACATCTGCGACCTCTTCTCGTTAATGATTGCGCATCAGAGTTTTCTGATTGTGACTCAAGATTATTCTCGTCCGAGCTCATCACGAGCACGTCCTTCGCGAGAGAACTCGCTCTTCGGCCACGTAATTTTCCCGAGGAGGGAGAATCTATCCTTATCTCCTTTGCTGCCGAACTCGCTCTCCTCGAACGCGATGATATTTCCAACGGTGATATTTCCGTTTCCTGCGACGAATGATCTTTTGGAAAATTTAGCGTGGCCAAAGTAGTCGTCCCTTGCAATCGCGGAGAATCCTTCGTCACTGAACTTGCTCTTCGTAGACGGGTGACTTTATCTGGCTCTGCATGCCGCGTCGGAACATCTGCTGTGTCTATTACGACCGAATCTGCTCTACGTGATCTAGTCATACGTACAGACGAAACATCCGTGACCTCAACTCGATTCCTCTCACTTTCCGAGAAATTGTCGCCAGCTGACAGCTTCCTCTCGGCTTCCTTCTCATTTTCATTGGATATCTCGACCCTACGATCGTCTACTTTATGCAGTTTTATAAAGCTTGAAAAAATGTTGTCGTACCTGTCATCGACATTGGCCCGATGCTGTCGGGGTGCTGATGGAGCTTTATCATTATCAAGGTTTCTCTTCAAGACACTTTCTCTCTCACTTGATTTATAATAACTCTTCTCATTGGATTCGTCGCTCTTCTCCCTTTCGATATTCTGCGCGACGTAGAGTTCTTGTAAATTGGAATACCTACCATTTTTCGCTTTTGGTTCTTCTGCAGTTTCTCTAGTACTGGAATCGGACTCATCGTCTGTAATGTTCGACATGTCGTAATAAAATATACGCTTTGAATGAACATGAATTGGCATCGAATGCGTCTCTTCTTTATTATTATCCGCACCATCATGTACTACCCGCGGAGTCACAGCAGCAGCAGCTCTACTATTCGCAGATTCATCGTCAGTCAAATCAATGTCACCCATTACAATGTCACCCTGCACCGATTCTTGCAAACCGTTGGATTTCGTTATGCCGCATTCTTCTGTTCCGTATGCCGGATTCTCGTGGGATGAACGAGAAGTAGGTACTTGACTTTGATCCAAATGCATCTGCGTGTCATCTGTCAGAATAGTGGATAGACTCTCGAACATCTCCTCATGTTCGTCTGCACTGTCCTCGTCGTCGTTTCGCAATCCAAGTAGTTCCTCGTCAGACTCGTCCGAAACTTGGGTTGGACTCGATTCCGTGACCTTCCCAGATTCGGAGAATACGGGCATTTCGTAATTCAGCAAACTCCGACTATTTTCCCTCGCCGTTATTGTCCTTCCGCCGTTATTGTATTTGTTCTCGATTCGATTCTCGCTCTCCACGACTTTGTCTTCTTGTTCCGCGAGATTTGATGCGTTTTCATCGCAATCAAATCGTTCAATGGACACGTCCCTTAGCACGTCAACATCTTCGTTATTCGCGTTTCCTTCCATCGCTCGCTTAACGTCAACATTAACAGATGTTTGAGAAACTATAATCTTCGTTAATGGAGTGGATGAAATGGTAAATTTATCGTTATCTCCATCTCTTCCTTTCCCGGGCAATCTCCATTGCGACGGACTGGTGCGTCCTGATCTCCTTGTAAGGTCACTGATGTCGACGCTGCTGTCAGAGGACAGTACAGTGGTCGAATAGATGGAGCTGGCCGATAATAAGGAGCTACGTCCTCTCGGTGTACCTGGAATAAACTGGGATTCTTTGTTCGTCTCTTCGAAAGTCATCGAGGTCGCTGCGGCGGACAAGTTTACGGACGATTGTAAGGCACTTCTTCTGAGGCTGGGTCGCGGACGGGCGTAGCAATGAATCTTACCGGAAGTATTGCTACTGTCATTCAAAACCGCGCTTTCGCAATATACTGCAGACTTGTTGTTTGCGTCCAAACAAGGACTGAAGAATGCATCATTACTCGCTTCGTTCGAATGTTGGAGGAAAATATCGGTCTCGTTATCGTTTTGTTCTTCCTTTTCCTCCTTCTCTTTTTCCTCATCCTCCTCTTCCTCCTCGTCACACGTCAGAGCATCTTTCTTGGATTGATTGATGTTAAAAAGAAATCGTATCTGTCTACTGATTTTCCTCTCCTTCTCGGTGGACAGTCTATCGGTGCAGGCCTCCTTCACTTGGGATATTACGGTAGGAGACGTCGAGTTTCTTACGAGTTGTCTAATCTTCAAAATAGATTGCGGTGTCTCTAGAACGTGATCCTTGTTCGTGGAGACATTAGGTTTGCGCTTTACCAGAGGCGTCTCGAAAGTTTCCAACAATCCCGATTCTTCCGAAGCTCGTTTGTCCGAAACGACGTTACTCGACGGTGATCCGGAGACATTCTCGCGATCCGATAATTTCCGGCGTTTTACGCCGTCCGATGACATTATGTCCGCATCTTCTTCGATCTCTTCGTAGATCTGATCGATCGTACGTTTGCCACGATTATTGCTCCTCTTATCGACTCGCATCAGCGCCGGAAACAATACACAATTCATGTTTACGCCATAACTGTTGAGTCTCAACGACGTGCAGGGCGCACTGACAAACGGGATCTGAGATTTTTCTCCTCGTAAATAAGTTTCTCTGGCCTTCGTGATCGCCGTCTCATATATATTCCGCAGTCTGTCGTGGCTTTTGCAATGCGACATCGGTCGGGAATGGCGCGCCTTCAGATCCGCGTCTGAATTTTTCGCTGCCGTATTCGTGGAGAATCGTTTCGTGACATCAGGCAAGGTCATGTCGTACGCGCCAAGCATACTGAACGACGTGGACTGCACGTCTTTGATCAAGTTTGACTGCCGAATCGGATAGCAGCCGCCAATTACTTCCGTGTAACGGCATCGTTGTAGATAGTATAATAAACGTAAATCTTCCATCTTGTTCTCCTCGAGAAATTTAACAAACACCTCCTCCTCCTCAACGTCCAGTACTAAGTGCAGAATCTCGTCGAGCTTGCCGTACTTGCTGCATGCTTGGAAAAAGCTGGTTAGCAGTTGTTCGTAATGACAGGGTGGCCGACGATGGAAAGCGGACTGTACCAGACCATGCTCCACCGAAAGACTCATGGCCATACCTTGCTCTTCCATGGAGGATAGGGCAGGTTTTCTCACGCGAAGATATACGAGCGCCAGTTTGTGTTGATTATTACGCACCAAAGTACGCAATATGAGTTTGTGGTGCCAATCCTTAATATCGGAGTCACAGACTAACTGGCCGGTTATCGTGTCGAGGAATTCCTGATAATTTTCGTGATCAAGCAGCCAGAATGCCTGAGTGAGCTTGATGAGGCTAGGGCTCATCATGAATGCGGACGGATATTTGATGAGCTGTTTCACCGCGGGATACAGCCGCTGCAGCAGCATAGCCACGTCCATTAGAAGGTAAATTGTGATCTGATGTCTGCAATTAATCTCATTTGCTTCCGTCTGATGACAATCGGTTAAATAAGATCGTAATAGAGATTGCAACGATGGTGGTGGGTAGCAGCCATTCATAGCGATGCTACCCTCTCTTTCCCATTGTGCTTTCAACATGGAACATTCGCGCGTTATCAGCTCGTCGATAAATAAATTTTCCTCCTTTTCGCGATTGCTGCCATTGTTTTTTAAAAACTGTGCCCGCTTCTCCTTATAAAGCACCGAAAGTTTCTCGTAAGGATAAGGCACTCTTAGCGCTAAGGAGATAGGCAGCGTACCCTTCTCCTCCTCCTCCTCCTCCTCCTCCTCTTCTTCTTGTTGTTCCGCCCTGTCTGCTGCTGATATTGCTGCTTCTTCCTCCTCCTTTTCCTCAAAATCTTGCATTTCGGGTAACAGTCCTACATCGTAGAACCAAAGGAGTACTTGAAAATATATAGACACGCGTCTCAACGTCCTTCGTTGCTTCGTCAAGTCCATCATCGCGGACGGCAATTTACCCACTACATTGGACAAACATTCCAATTGCTGCGAGCAAAATCGCAAAGTTTTTACATCAGCTTCACCGATGCTGCTGCCTGATTGATCAAACAGAGGAATACAAAGCCGATCCGCAATCATTTTTATCATAGAAGCTCTCTGGACGACCCACTTAAGGAAAGTGGGATACAAGTAAGAGGCACTACCGTCCGACCACTCTGTAGCGCATTTTATCAGAAAAGTAGACCACCGCTGTTCCAAGCAGAGGGACAGCAACATCTCTCGTTGTGCGCTTTGATCGCTGGCGAACGAAAATTCCGAATTGAACGGCACCAATCCGACCGAAAGACATCTATGAAACGTTTCAAATGGTTGTATCAATACGACTGGACCCGCCGTAGCAATTTCACGCAGCAAATCGGTCTGAATCCCACGAGTCATCCAGAATGTCAGTTTCGTTGAGTTAAGCTCTATCCATTCAAGGGACAAGGAGTTGGGATAAAACAATTCCTCGGACGAGCTCGGGCTGTTGCTGGAAAATTCTTGCAAACTGTGCGGAATATATGCGAAACTTATGACCGACTGACTGTCTACCTCGTTTTGTGCGTCCGATTTTGTGCGATACGTTGCTAATATGCTGTTTGGATTCTGACACTCGCTGATGGTGTGCGGCATTTGCTCTTTATACCATTGATTTAAATCAAACAGAAATACTCTGTCGTTGGTGGCGATAAGCAGCAGATTATCCTCGCCTCTTCTAGCAGCCGATTCGGTCTGTTCTGGATTGGACTCTCTCTCAACGGTGCACAAACCGATAACCTTATCTCCTTCGTTCAGTTCCGATTCAAACTTGAGACTGGGATCATCTTCTAGATTGAAGTACAAGTTTATCTCTCTGTCACAGTATTTCCTTTCAAACAGCATGGCGTACATTCGCAGTATCGGTGGCGCTTTTGACAATTCGTCCTGGAATACAACCCACAAATAATAAAAAGGTCTAGGATCATCCGTGGGTTCCAACAAGGCCAAATGCGTAACTGTCATGTTCTCGTCGATAGGCGTACTAATCCATCCTATGGAGCCATCATTCTGCCAAATTATCACTCTACCTAAACAGCCGGAAATTAAACAGCCAATCTTTGTGGAGCTAACGATCGCGGTGGTCAAATTCTCGCCGAGCAAAGATGATTCAAAATCTTCTCTGTTAAAGCCAATGTGTTTTTCTATACCTGAGAATTAAATTACCAATTACTGATAAAATATTAATTCAAGATTTGTGTGCGTGCGTGCGTGTGTGCCTGCACTTGCTTAATAGTATCAATGTGCTTAGATAATGATTATCAACTTCTGTATCCAGTACTTACGATTGTTGAACAAATTATAAGCCGCATGCTTTTCTCGATTTCTGAATTGACATCTACCAATAATTTGTTTTGCCGATGGAAAATCAATTTCTGCCGGTGATGTTTCGTCCATAACAGTAGATGAATCTTGTGTGTCCCATATAGTTCGTCGGAGATCGATCATAATATGCTGAAGATTACGCAAAGCTACACAGGCCATTCCATCCATTTCGCTTAGTATGTTATCAGGTCTTTTATCATTGAATTCCTCCCATTCTGCACCACCCGTCACAACACAGACTTGTTCTATCCCACATGGCATCTGGACAAAACGTAATAAAAATACAAAACAAATAATCACCTATAAGTAATTACAATCCTAAGCAGTGATTAAAAAATGAATGTGATTTACTTAGAGGATATTTAATATTTAAATAATACTTACACGGATAGCTCTCAAAACACGGGATGTAGTACAGTCAAATATACACAATAAACCAAAGGAATCTTTTATTTTGGTTGCACAATTATCTATTCCAACGAGCAGCAATGGAAATTCTCCAGATTGCGCAGGAAATTGGAAAACGGATGTTACAATACCACGAAACATCCAACTGCTAACGCTCTCTCCTAATTTCACATTAAAGACTACCAAATGGCAACCATAACTCAGCCATGCGTATGTTGCATTATGCAGAAATCCTCCACGACAATCACTAACATTGTCGTGCTCTTGAAGGTTCGCAGATTGACCATACTCTAAATTTCTTAACCAGTTTGACACAGGAAATTGAAGATTCACGATTCTGCGAATCTGTACGAGAGAATTATCGTGAAAATTGATATATATATATATATATATATACATAAAAGCGATGAGTTTTTTCTTTTATTTCAAATAGAATCCATTTTTATTTTCGGCCCAATTCGATTCAAAGTAGAAAAAAAATTATCAATTGAGAGCGTTTCAAACTGTCGCGATAGCTTATAAACCAATAATTTAAATATTTTTTATGTAATCACTCACCTCGCAGTTAACTTCCTCCAGCTCCTTCATTTCTCAGGCCAGCTACCGAAATATTTCATCAGAGTTGCATTTAATAAAAACCGTTTTTACGGGTTCGCAACGAGGTTATGTTGGCGCCAAATCTCACGTTTGCTCTCGTAATAAAATAGGAAACGCATACACACTTAAGAATACAATGAAATTGGACGTGCACTACAAAATGAAGTTATTGGAAGAATACAATAATTAATTCAGTGTAATTTGGAATCGTACTACGTATGAAATTGATATTATCTATCTATTAATTTTGCTGCGCGCTCTCTCTCTCTCTCTTTCTCTCTGTCCAATCACCAATGGTAATGCAAAAACTGCAAAAAGGATAGACTAGATAAACGCAAGATGGCGTGTTATGATCATCACGAAATTCATGAATAAAGCCTCGTATCCACGATACTAGAAATCGGTCCAAGTTTTTGGACCGATAACTGTGTAGCCAATCAACTTGCAGCTTTCACGAAGGGTGAGTTTCTACTGGACGCGTCATCCGTCGCGCGTCACGAATTAATCAATCAGAGAGTCCCTCTAATCAATCAAAATATCCCATTTTATTACAAATTTGCTTTTGGCTGGCCGCCTTTAATAATATACCTTGTTGGGGGTTCAGGAAAATATGTTAAATAATTGTTCTGTGACTTTTTAATTGCTGACGTATTCGGTAAAAATGAGATAACTTGATCAATTAAAAAGATCGCGCGCCCTCGCGTAATATAATACAATATATATGATTTTATATTTATGGATATAGCACAAACTCGAACCACATCCATTTTCAACGTTATAATTTTATCGACAATGTTAGAAAATGGATGTAGTACGTAGTATTTCAAAAATGGATGTATTGGCGCTAGTGTACGGGAGGTGTTGACACTTCTGACGGTCCCCTACGTAAATAACCGGGATGGTCGCTCTCGTGGTTCTTCTGTACACATATTGTTGTATGTATGTATACATATATAAACATTTACTATAAATAAAAATTACATCGTACACACACACCATATATATATATATATATATAATATTAGATTCTATCGTAGTTGCATTAACAAGTTTAAATATTAATTGTGAAACGTACGCGATTTCTTCCTTATAAAATTAAGTACTTGGTGCTGTGTGGATACGAAGCAAAAATATATAGCAATCCTTTATATATCACCCCACATATAGTTATAGACATATTATCGCGTCGCTTGATCGGCTTGTGTTAGAAATACAGAAATAATCGAAGTTACAATGTTTACACAAGGTTTTCTTTGCGACGCGAGAGCTCTCCTTGCGGCTATACGGTTCTTTCAGTCATGTACGCGCTTTCTTCAATTCGCGGTACGTAGAATCTATAACTAGATAAAATTATTTTATATCTTTCATTGCAAGTATAATATTATTATTATTAGATCTTAATCTAAAAGTATAATAAATTTTTAGTTTTCTTATTATAAGTGTCACATAAATTATAATTTAATTTATAATGTTGCTATTATTATATAATTTAATTAATGTATTGTTTGTGTCCAATACTTAATATATATTCCATGTAGACAATTAACTTTTTCTAAAGCGCGCAAACACACACACACACACACCATCACACACGCGCGCGCATACGCACACATAAAATCGTATTTTATTATTATATTATAAATGCGTTGCATGCACATGAGAAAAATACAAAATGACAAGAATTTTAATTATATTTTTCAAATTTAATTAATATTAAGAAATACATAAATAATCTGCAAAAAGAATATTAAATGCAACTTAACGAAAATATATATATAGTGTTTACCAATATAATTAACATTAGATATAAATCATAATTGATTAAAGATGTAGATTGTGATACATTATTGACGTGAAAGTTGGATATTACTCGTTGAATCGATAAACTAGCGCTATTAACAGCAAACTGTGTTTATAAAGTATGTTCATGTATATGTTAATATATATATTATACTTACATGGATATTATATATACATATATATGCTGAATGGATGACTGCATGCATATGAGATACACAAAGAGAATAAAAATTGTTTTGATACAATTTTAATATACGTATAGCTCATAACTATTTTATTTTGTCTTACATTAGAAAGAAATGCTTCTAATAAAAACTTTATAATTTTAAAGGAGAAATATGATATATGCATATATACAATAAGTTTTTTTTATAGAGTGTATTTTTTATGATAAATATGTATGACAAATACTTATATCTTTATAGATATAAGTATTTGTGCTGTCAGTTAATCTCTGGCACTCTGATATGCATTTTCTTTAAATTTACATTAATTAAAAAAAAAAGCTCTGAATATTTTTCGCATATATTCAAGCATACAATTGCAATGCAATTGTTTGCGTGCGTTTAACCGACCATAATAATAACGACAACAATAATAATAATTCCGTTTACTATTCTCTCTGACACTTGCCTAATAATACGTTGCATATAGGAAAGAGCATGACTGTCCTGAAATTATGCTATCGATTGGGAGAAGAAACAGCTATGATTTGTGTCATCTGAAACAAACTAATATTATATCTTCCTTATTATCAATGAGAGTTATATACAATACTAGCGATTTATTTAACGAGTCCATTTCGCAGATTCCTGCTAAGAAACGTTGCGCGTGCAAACGTGTATATTCCGGGATTTCGTTGCACATTTGAGCGCTATGCGTGCCAGTAAAAGGGTGTTTTTTTTTTCGAAGGATAAGCATCGGTCGCAGTCAATCGTCAACAACAATTACCTGTCGACAATCTGACGAGTATGAATGAGCAGGTGCGAGAATATAAAGACGCAACAACGCATTCACGTCGTGGTCAGCCGCATTCTATTCTGCAATTTGTACTCCAACGTAAAACGTAAATTCGGTAAATACGCTGGTAAATCCGACGATAAATTCCAAAATTATGCGATCAACGACGATTCTCATAAAGTTAATTTCGCGCGAAGGAGTGACGTCCTCACGAAGGATTTTCTCGTGATTTTGCCTTTTGCTAAGTACGAAAAGATGATATTTATATCGCCTTTATAATGCAATTTATTTTTATTTTATTATATATGTATATTATATATACCTTAAATATGCCTTAAATTCTGTTTTGATATTTTATTTTAAATATTACGATGATTTGAAAAATTATGAATTTTAAAAGTTATATATTGTATGTGTTCGTAGGAAGCCATCAAATGCAACTCACGAATTATTTTATGATCGCGCCTACAAATATCAACGAAACTGTCCTCATGTCTAAGAAAACGCACATATGCTGGAATAATTTCGATAAGCAACAAATGGCGAATAGTAAGATAACGCATATTATATTTTTTGTTATTTCCCGATTTAATTTTTAAATGTGCAAATATTATTATTTTTTTTTTTTTTTTAATTATTTTAACTATTTTAAAAATACATGGAAAAATTTGCAATACAAGAAAAAATTGAATAAAGAGGAAATAATAATATATTAAATGAATTGATATAATTTTAAATGACAATTACGTTTTCTAAAAAAGTATTTTTACAAAAATAATTAATATACATCAAAGTTTTTCCCTACACTCTTAGTTAATTAACGTTAATAAAGTAATTTATTCTTTTATAAAAAAGATTGATAAGTGCTACATACATATAATTATTAGTATACGAAATAAAATTCAGCGCATCACGATTTGCAGGATTTTAATGATTGTGCTGTATAAATAAATCCAGTATATTTATTGAATTTTGTTTAATAATAATACCATATGCTACTCTACTTCGAGTTGATTTGAATCGATAACATATAGGAATAATATGATATATGTATTCTAAATGTGTGCAGCCTACAAAAGCGACAAGCCTACAAAAGTGAACGAATACGACGTAAATTCCGATGGGGCGAATAACAAGTCGGTAAATAGCGATCTATATCAAGCAGTGTTCCCAATCTATCACCTCAGCAAATTGTCCGGTGTATTTCCAACAAGATTCGTTGGACAAGCATCTGGTAGATATCAAGGCCGTTTGAGTGTCACTGATAGCGTTTACAGGTAACAACGAGCGATAAAATCGAGTTCTTTATTCACGCAAATATACGGATTAAATTAATTTAATGCTTTTACATATATAGGAATATTGCGCGCGCGTGTAATTTGTAATTTTATTTACACATGTATATATAATACCGTTCAAACTAAATCAAATTTTGTTGGAAAAAGAATATAAAATATAAATCATCACACGTACATAATCATGGTTAATTAAGCTATTATAATATTACGCATAATTATGCAGCTATGTCCTAAAGCTTGCAATCTTAATACTTTTATTAGTATACATCTACATATTAGAAATGTATAGAAATGTAGGAATTTAGGAATTTGATATTTAATAAATTACTTTTAATAATTATAAGTAATAAAAATAGATGAATGCATGTTTACATGTTCATTGATTCCTTATTAGTAAAGGATAAAAAATTATCTCAGAAATAGTAAAAATGTTTGTTTTTCAAGGATAAAGTGCGTAGCACTGCTTATAGCATTAGCCATTTTAGAATTGTTTTTTTTTTACATGACTATTCAACTCGCGCGCGCGCGCGTTCTTACTAATCTTGTCAAACATGAAAAAAGAAAAAAGTGTCTACTAATGAAAAGTAAATCGCTATTGATATCTTAAAATCAGGAGACATGTACGATGTAGAGCCGTGGTGGTGCCCTCGGCGTCAAGTATAAGATTTAAAATAACTTTAAAACCTGACGCGATAGAGCGATTTAGCCAGCACTTGTTTTTTTTTTTGCTGGTGAAAATTTATAAGAACTTATAAAATACCTGCTCTATAAGTAGAGTTTTGACAAAACTTTTTTGACTATTCTGTATTAATTATTTTCATTCTTATTCTTAAAAATTTATTTTATACATATATGCATGTTAGTGTCAGAGTGTGTCATTAAGATTTAATTCTTATAAAGTATAATAAAGTAAAATAATTAGAGCTATAATGTATTGCAGTGTGTGTCTATTGACATGTCTAATCGGCGCCGAGATTTGGGGTTACTGGCGCGATTTAAGAGATGGATGGGAACACAGTACTCGACTTAAGTCACAAAACGCAGTGATTGTTACCACCAGCGATGTATTGGGTGTAATGAGTCTCACAGCTTCCTCCATTATCGGCTCAATTCTCCGCTGGAAACATGTGCAAACTATCATCGATAAATTAGTCGATGTAAGTCATTTAATTATAATTATTGGAATTCAATATTCATATACTCATCATACTCGATTCATCTGCATTAAAGTGCGACGAGAAGCTGGGAATTGTTTCGCCGAAAAAGATCCGACGATACACAATCCTCTTGACATTGTGCAGTCTTCTTTATTCTATCATTATCTCGTGCCTCGATATATACACATGGCACTATGAGGTAAAACTGAACAAGAAACTGAACGACAAAGGTCCGATCAATTACGTTCCCCTGTATTTCATGTATATAGTCATCATTATGATGGAAGTTCAATACGCCGTTGCTACGTACAACGTGTACCAGAGGTTTTGCAGGCTCAACAAAAATCTCGAGAATATCCTTAAGAGTGGCAGGATCACAGACCAGTTTAGGAAGGATCTTGGATTAGGTGCGTATCACTCATCATTGCAATTATAATTGCTTAAGGAGAAACTCCTAAATTGAAACTATAGTGCCGCTATATTTTACCGACAATTTGTGCATTATATGAATGTGTGCGTGAATATTGACGTAGTAAATATGCAGTAGTGATATATATATTATTATAATTAATATTTACTATCACATTAATATCACGCGCGCCTGCGTACACACACACAAATTTTCGTAATGACTATAATAATTAATATTATACTTGCATCGAATAGGTATCGCGAAATCTATTTTTGTGAACTTAACGTTATTTTTTCTTGTATTCTACTAGACTATTTTCTGACAACTCAAATTTCATACGTACAGATTGCACGTGCAGATTGCTTTTATCAAACAAATATTGTCATATCAGCGTGATCGACTTGACCTAGCTCTAAACGCCAATATTCGACTGTAAGATCTGAATTATACAAATTTTTTTTGTTTCTCAATTTGGACCTTGCATCATATATCATTCATTTGTAAAGCACATAAAAAAATACATTTTTTCGTCATATATATATAATTCAAATCCGAACTATCTGCAATTAAGCCTACTATTATACAGAAAACTTGCAGATTGGTCCAAGTTAGACGAGATCCGCTAATTTAAATGTCTTTCAACTTAGACGATTCGCGAATATGTATATAAGTATGCAACAGTTCATCTTGCCTCGTTTATACGTACACGTGACACGATCAGACGTCAATGTGATTATGTGTACTGTCTCTTGATCAACATCATCATTTTTATAATGACTTTTTTAATGAAATTTTAAATTTACATTCTCTTTTTCCTTATTTCCTTTTACTTCCCTTTCTCTCAAACACGGTTTTTAAAGTGATAAATTTTTTAGCCGGTGACCTTCGTGATCAAGGGCAACACGCTACATATGTTCGACAAGATGTGGGAAACGTTCGAATGTTTCGAAGATCAAAGATAATGGATTCTTCTAACACAAATGGTACGATTATATAATGATATGGCGCCTAGAAATATATTCATATATTTATATTTTTGAATTTCTACCATGTTGTAGACATACCAGCTAGTATATAAATAAATAAAAGCAAAATGAAAATTAAAGCGTATATATTATTATATTAAAGACGTACGTGTATATGTACATAAATCGTAATTGTTCATAATTAATTATATATAAATAATAATGAAAAAAGTCTAAATATTTTGAAAATTAAGAAATTTTGAATAATTATTAAATATAATAGTAATATTATTTCGTTAAATAGGATATCATAATAAGTAATTTAATTAAAGTCTTTTAAGTAATTAACAGAGTAACAGTGTTCTAGAGATATATCTTTTGTTTTTATGATTATTTTTATAATGGCATCTGAAATATATATATATAATCGTTAATAATCGTAACCTGTTCTATCAATATACATATATATATAGCTAGCCTGCACTTATTAATTATAAAATATATATTGTAACTATAAATTTTTGTGGCCCTTAACGGACATGTAACGTCTGCAGCTAATTAAAATTGGCTACGCTGCTAAAGTTTTAGCTGTATCCACGCATTATTATGACTGTAAATTTAGCCTCCACACAGTTTCTTAGTGCTACAACTAATCTTTTTTTTCCAATACTGTATAGCTTTGATATAGTTTATTTATTTTAATTCTCCAAAATAATTTGAAAAACGGGCTCTCTAAATTGAAATGTCTCCTTAAAATAAATCTTTTTCTAGATGGTAAAAGTTTCACGGACAGCATATCCCAATTGATGACAGTGCATGCGTCGTTATGTGACACAGTGATGCTCATAAATGCTGCTTATGGCGTTGTGGCTCTTGTGATTACAATCACTTGCCTAATACATTTAATCATTACACCGTACTTTTTAATAATGGAGGCCGATGGAAGACGTGAACCACTATTCCTCGCGGTACAAGGATTATGGTGCATCTTTCATATCTGGAGGTTACTCATGATCGTACAGCCTACGTATACTGCTACAACACAGGTCAATCTATAATTTAAATAAATAAATAACGATAATTTACTATCAGATAAAAATAAAACAAATTTTCAAAGATTCGGGGATTAAACGTCGACAAATATTTTTTCACTCTGTACATGTATTTTGTTGAAAAATGTCGGTTATTTCAATATGTGCGATTTTGAAAAATAAAAAAAAATTCGCACTATCAGATACTAAGTACATAAAAAATGGTAAAGTCTGAACTTGATAAAAAAATTGTTTATACCTTCTATCATTTAGCATTTCAGGCAACATCTTAAATCTAGAGAGATTATTGTATTCCCTGCTGTATGTGGGAAATATGTTGATGCACATTGACTATATTGCAACTGATTTAATAAGAGACTTTCAAGACGTTCAAGACTTTCGTTTGTTGATTTCGATTCGAAAATGATTCGATGTCCCTTGAGCGCGTATGCCCCGTATGGCCTGCTTTTTATAATTATTATTCCATAATTTTATTGCACGATTTATTGCAATTATCTTCAGGGAAAGAAAACAGCAGTTTTGGTCAGTCAATTACTGTCGACAAGTCCCGATAAAGAAAGCAGAAAACAACTAGAGATATTTTCACTTCAGCTTCTACATCGTCCTTTAGAGTTCTCAGCGTGCGGACTTTTCACTCTGGATCGAACTCTTGTAACTTCAGTAAGAAATAATAATTTTTCTGTATACTCTAATTTGAATACAGAAAAATAAATAAATAAAAGTACATAATTTTTTTTTATAGATCGCTGGTGCCGTTACGACGTATCTCGTGATACTCTTACAGTTCCAAAAGCAGGATGAAGATAAAGGCAATTTCGACAATATCTTGAAAAATGCCACACAGATGCTGAAGAATGCTTCGACACTTCATAATCTCACGGCAGGAAGATTAGGTTTAAATTAGGACAAACTCTCTTTTTCGTTCTTGATTCTGTAATAAAGCTTTTTACGAATTAATATATGTCTCGCCCATTTATTTGCAAAATATTCATGATTGAAAGAATCAAGTCAAGATAAATATCTCTGCAGTGTACAAAGATACAGATTTCACGATATATCAGGGAATCAAAACAATAAAATAGACCACGCAAATACACGCACGATAACACGCTTAACGCGAACCAATTCCTTAACTAAGTATAACACTTACAAAGAGTCTAATACAATAATAAATGTCTTTTTATATAAATAGCATTTTTAATAACAAAAAGGATCAAAGGTAAAATGTAGGTACTGGATGTGAAATTCCGATCGATATATCAGACGCGTGCGATGAGATGATGACATTTAATATCCCAATTCTCATACAACGTCGATATAAGAAATATGATTTCGTTCGTTTTGCTCGACCCGATTGCTAATTAGCAAACAACCGCTCTTCTCGTGATCAATTGACAATTAATTAGCACTTCGCTTCATAGTGTAGTCGTCTACAAAGTTAAATGTCGATCACAGCCTATCCGAAACTTTGCCACTCATTATCCCCTTGACACGGTAGTATTAAGCACAGAGATACCTAGGTAAACTCGGAGGATTCCTTTCTATTTCTTACAAGGGAAATAGAATCTTAGTCTCTGGGAATCTTAATTTCGAGTTTACACCCTTATCATCTCAGGGTATATACAACTTCGTATACTGATTCTCTGTCTTCTTTTCTCCATATCAGCTATACACTTGTTCGTACAAATTATTATTCTAGCAATAAATATATTAGATCGCTTAGAACAACCTAGACTCGCATTAGTCCATGTGCCATATGTATGCAATATAAATTATGAATACGACAAGCGCATTGTATGGATTAATCGCATTTCCGCGTATTATTTTTCTTGCAAATTCTTCTCTTTAGTTCACTGTGGCTGCCGCGATGGATGGCTGCGTTTTCTGATGTGTTGCTTGCAATAAGTTGTCACAGCAGGAGTCCTTAGTTGTAGCGGATGGCAGCTTCCTCGTCCTTTGACATGTCACCGGTTGTTGTAGGGTCGCTGTTTCGAAAGAGTCCGTCTCGTTTTCTGTTTTGATATTCTGATGTCGAGCATTGCACTGACAGGAACTCGTATGATGATGATGCAACCGTGCGTAACAGTCGCTACACACTCTTACGGGATTGTAGAGCTGCTCGCTAGGCAAGGGGGTAGAATTCTCGGAGCAATCAGCGCAAAAAATTTTGCCACAACATCTGTATATAATACAAAAATAAATTTAAAAATTACACAATTGAACGAAACAAATTTAAAAAAAGCATAATTATTCTTCTTTATAATAAAAAAACGCGCGCGCGCGCGCGCGTGTGCGTGTGTGTGTGTGTGTGTGTGTGTGTGTCATGACTGTACGTGGACTAAAATAATCTTTTTTGAAATTTTAATTTTAAATTTCTCAAGATTAACATGTTGACATTTTGAATATTGAAATCGTACTCGACATTAAAGAAATATTGAATGAGTTGATTTTTTGTTAAATAAAAAAATTTTTTATTCATAAATTGCCTTTTTTTCATTTTTGTGTATGAGCTGTTACTAGAGCTGTTACTTTAGACAATTTCGAAGATTCGAGAAAATTCAAAATTGTTGAGAATTCATAAGTAACAGTCCTATTTTGTATATGTATGTGTAAGTATTCTATTCTTTATGATTAGCAACTCCAGCGTCTATTGTTTTGTTGTGCAAAATTCGTACCTGCAATGATGCTTACGTCTACCAAGCCAGAACTCTGTGTTACATCCCATGCATCGAGTCACGGCATGATCGGGTACCCATAAGGTAGGTGCAGGACCTAATTCCTCCACAGCTTCCCAGGACATATCCGACGGTAGCGATTCTCCATGTTCACCGGCGCTACCCACCGAATCAGGTAAGGAACCCTGCAGTGTCATCGCACATGTATTTTTTACTATATCATTGCACATATGTGGTAAAAAGAAGATAAGCTGTTAATCAAAGAACTCTACTTACAATATCGTCGATACGATCGGTATCTGCATTGTGATTGCAAACTTGTTTGATTAGTGCCAATCTAGTTGTGTGTAATTCCTTTCTCAAGGCTTCCTCCTTGAGCTAAAAAAGTAATTAAAAGTTAAACAATTATAGAAAAAAAATCGTTAAAAGAAAACAGGATTATCTCTCCTCTATGTATAATATATCGCCAGCCGCTTTCAAAGCACATGTCAAAAGTGTAAAACAACAATGCCGCTGCTGCTGCTGCTGCTTTAAATACCTTATGCTCTACGATAATTTGTTGTACTCGCATTTGGATGTCACAACATATGACAGGAAGACCGTCAACATCGTCCAACCAGTCAGGATTATCTAACACAATATCTTGATGGGTTGGAGAAGCTGGACATATGCTACTAGGAGTTCTTGATATCAACGGGGCGCTAGTATCACTCATATCACTACCACCCTCATTATGATTGCGATTACATGAAGAACAAACAACCTGTGCAGTAGTAGTGCCGGTTTCGATCCACGGTGAAACAATGTCGCGCGACGAACTTGTTTGCGATCTATAAATTTTACAAATTTTGCAAATGCTTAAAAGTTCGGACGCGTTGTAACGCACGCATGCACGCACGCACGCACGCACACAAAAACTGTGCTTACGTTTCCTTGTCTCCATTCATCAATGGAGCAACGGAATCATTGTTGGGTATTAAAGTATCAGTGGAACTATCTACCGAAGGATTGGCGGGCGAATCACTGGATGTTTGATTAATAGTATCTCGTTTTGTCCTGACTTCAGTCTCTGATAAGTTTTCATTCGCGGCTTCATTCTTGTTATCATCCACATTTTTCACACTCTTTTGATCCGTCTCAGTCTCAAGCGCTAGAGAATCAAATTTCCTGCAACAGAGGCACGTATTTTTAGGAAAAAAAAATTTACAAACGTGTCGACTTGTCACACAAATTTATTGTTGATTATACTTACTTTTCCATAGAAATACTCGGATCGCTACGCCTTCGGTGTAGATAAGCCGCATGATCAGGGGCATGCATAAGATCGCCGTATGATCTCGTCTTCGTCATTTGTCCCTGTGGCTCCTCACTCTCGCCACCTTCAATGTCTATCACTGTTATTCTTTGTTTATCGTCTCTCATACCAAGCGACGATTCCATAGAACCTAGATACACTTCAGACCATAGAACAAGATCGCGTACGTTACAACTCGGCCATAATACCTAAAGTAACATAAAAAGTAACATAATAAAAATCTTTTTGTCATCATGTGAAATTGTATGACAATTATGTTATATGACACTTTGCGACGTACGTACTTGATTCTTTAACGGCGAATATAGATGATTCACAAATGTAGTCGAATTGAGGAAACGCCAAACTGAAAACGTACGTTCACGTATTCTCAATTGTAGCCTCTCTTGCCTGGTATTACACAGGAATGTACCGAACAATTGCGAGTACGTATGTTGGGCCAATTTCACCTAAAACAGGAATATTATTAGATGGCTCAGAAAAATAATTTCTTTAATAATATATATATATATATCTTTTCTCAGAACTGTTATTTATATATTTACTAGGTACGCTGACGACATTTGAAAACTACACTGAAATTGCAGAATTAACTGATGGACACAATCAAGCCACTGAAGAAATACTGGACAACGTTCGTTAGGATCGTCGCAACCGATTGTTTGACCACATCGATCCGCGAACTTATGTCCAAAGTCTAACCATTCTCTCTCTACTAAAACTTGAAATCCCTAGAATAACACAATATTATATAAAATCAGAACGTAATAAAATTATAGAGTATTATCAATCAAATCATTTCGTCATCTATTATGCCCTTAAAAAATATATATTGTATACCTCCATAGTACGATAATATGGATCAAGTAATATTTGGGCTAAAGCGACAATTTGAGGAGTTCTGTCCCAGCCATCGCTACAGTGCACTAATACTGGTCGACCGTCCCTCTCAATCGCGGATGCTACAGTGACTGCTGCCCGTAACAAACCCGACATATGCTGCAACCATCGCGTTCCTTCCAGCAAACTTAACCAGCTGTAAAAGTATAATTGGATTAATAAAAAAATTAAGATAATTAAAAATTCCAATAACAAACGACATATTCGAAATTTGACAAATTACTTTGATACTTTGGAGAACTCACTTTGGTTGATCCGCGTCCGATGCACAAAGCTGTCGCACGGCATGAAAGCTCTTTCGTATTGAATGGATATTCGGTAAATTCATAAATTGTATATCGCAACTCGGATAATACTCGGGGCACTCGCAACCGCCGCCTCGTGCCCGATTTGCTACGGCGGTTGTGTACGATCTGGCATCGACAATTAAAACTTTCTATAAAGGGGAAATTATTTATGTAAAACATGGAACACAATTGTATGCCTTAATTATAAATATACCTATATTTATGTCTAATTTTTTTTGTTCTTTTCTCTACTTTAATTTCTTATTAATAAAATAATTTTTTTATTAAAACTCCTGTTTCTTGCAGCAACATAAAAATCATTTCTGCATTACATTATGTACGGAAGTAAATTAATTCTATATGTCTCTCAGCACACATGTTTAACAATGAGTCTAGAAAATATATTGAAAACCCAAAGACGATTTATGAATAAATAGCTGTGAATTAATCAACTAACTCATAAGATCCATTTTCATTGGAATAGGTACTGTAGGATACTGAATTGTACATACATGTATTCTTATTAATATAGAATTTAAAAAAAAACGAGTTTTCAACATATTTTTATTATTTGATATAGCTGCAAAGTAAAGAATTGCAAAAAAATTTTAATTGGACTGATTGGTTAAAATCCCCTTACTTTGGCAGCACTCGGTGTATCGTCACCAGTGTCGGAATATGTAATAGGCGAATCTACAATCGTAGATTCGCCTTTATCGTAGCTACACGCATCTGCGAGAGCTTTTAGAAGATCCTCATCTTCAGAACTTCTCCAACCGAGCCAACCAACTTCCGGTTGACTACTGCGAGCTATCACGGCGCCGTTGTTTACGTGTCTTCAGTATGTAATGTAATTATAACGCGATAAGATATAGACACTTATCATAATTACTATCATATAAAGTAAAGAATGAAGACTATACCTCCAAACAATAGCTGGAATTCGTCTAGAGCTTCGAAATTTGGCAACAAATTCGAGAGTTTCATCGGAAATGCAAGCGGGAACTAGAAGCTGTGGTGGATAGGATGGACACATTCGGTAATCCTTATTTATTTGACTTATACGCCATGTACCATGCAAATTAAATTTCAATCGCTCGACCTAAGATATAATTTTATGTGTACATTTATATAAAGTAAAAATTTCTGCAGTCACAGCTATAAATATATTTAAGAGGTACTCTTACCTCTGAATTAAAAGTGGTGATATAAGAACTATTATCTTTTCCAAGCCTAGGGTAATCTTTGCCTTCTTCTACAGACCATGCGTAGTATGCAAACGCAAATATATCCTCTATACTTTTTCGCGGATAGGTCACTTTGTGCAATCGTTTAAACCACTCCAAACAGTGCTCATTTGTAGTAAATGCACAACTAAAATATCAATATTTTATTTTTAATATTTTGATATCTTATATATATATATATATATATATATATATATATATATATATGACATAAATCTATCATACACAGTGCTTATTAATAAATTCAGAAGAGTAAAACGTAACAAATTTAATATAAAATAAATTACCTTAAAGAACGTGCGTCCTTGCATCCAATGTGTAAATAAAATATCTCTTTGACCTCCAGTTGCTCAATGAGACCCAGAGGTATATTATAACATGTTTGACTTAATTGTAGATAAAGCCTATAATTTGAAAGTGCCAATATACCATCTGTTGTCCGTCCCAATGCCACGACCGATTCCCCGCTTAATGGTGTAAACGGAATCGTCAATGTTTCATCCTCACATTCAAAATGCGTGTGCTTAGGAAATAACTCTGAGGCATGTAGATGACATATAGACTGCAAACTAGTTGGTTCCTCTGAACTCTCCATCTCTTCGTTCTAAAATATATATCTTTGATTCTGATCAACTGTACTGTAAATTTAATTATATGTAATTATATATAATTTAATTATATACGAAATTTTTAATTGTTAAGATTTTAAAGCATACAAAAAACCTAGACAGCCATCGTCTTATCTTTATCATTGTATTTCGTTTTTATATCAGTACAAATTAAACTTACACTTAAAGTGAACTCAGTAACTACCTGGTATCCCAGATTAAAATGTTCTGTCTCCTGTAATATATTAACAACTTGTAATAACATGTATACTTTGTCTCTATATACTTTCATATGCATACAATTTATCAATATTTACACTGTCAACAACTTTACATCAAAATGTTTCAAGAATAATAATAAGTTGATTGCAACAACGTAAACTAAAACAAGAAGATAATCATCAATAATATTAAAAAAATATTGCTCTCCAAATTCTTTCTTGCATGTTTTCTGATTGTAAATATCACAATAAATTTGATTTTTTAAATGTCTTCATAGAAAAAAAAATCAAATGGCATAAGATCTAGTACCATGTACCGTCATTACCCTGGAACTTATTAAAAGATTGCGCAAAAATCATTTATTTGTTGTATTTGATAATGTGTGAAAAAATTAATGATAATCATTTTGAACACTTTCTGGAACAAAATATATATTATATTGAAAAACGCATTTAATTGATTCAGTTTTTTCCCATATAAATGATTTTTTTTAACGTTTAAAAGATCATCTCAAGGTCAAGGTATCTTGTATAACTGAATTTTTTTTTTATAAATTAACATTATTACGTTATCAAAATATGCCATCCCATTTAAAAAACGGCAATGACATCGAAATCTTAAAAAGTACCTTGAGGAAACTTTTTGCTTATTATATTTTTTTTGTTCCTTCGAAACTAATAATTTTCTTCCCTTTGATTTTTTTGTATCATTAAAAGCAACAGAGATATTTTAAAATAATCGAGGAAACACCCTGTACACACATACACACACTTGAGCTCATTGTCAAATTTATAGATATATGTACTATATACAAATATAAAATATTATTGTAAACATTTTTAACAATCAATGATTGGAACCACAAAAAACTATACAAATGTCAAAGATAGTTTACATACATTTATATTTTTTATTAATAATGTTAATAAGAATTGTTTTTATTGTCATTACTATAATATTATTATCAGTACGCTTTGTTTCCATACCTATATTTAACCTATTATTAAGCCTATTTCTGCTATACTTAATATTCTACATCTCTTTCTCATCAAAGCCCAAATTTATTAATTTCATCTTAAATATAGAACAACGTTTTTCAGCGCCTTATTAGAGATTCTTTTTTGATCCATTATTTTTCATCTTGGACTTTTAATCTTTTTATAATTGCCAAAGGTTTTACGAGTGCATTCTAAGGTATACTACAGTTTAATCGCAGTGTTATTAATATTTTGTACAAAGGAAAAGTAAATTTATGAGACTCCTGAATATCAATGTTAATTACCGCCAATTTCGATTGACTTTTTTCCCCATGTAGATAAATGTAAATAGATGAAATTGTTCACAATAGACAGATTCAAAATTAATTAATTACAATCTTGTCAAAACTTGTAGTCCTTTATGCGGCTTTGCCTAGAGACCTGCTTGAGAAAGGAGTAATTTTTTGACTGCAGTGTTCAAATTTTTCATATTTGCAAAGAATATAGATACCCATGTTGTCAATAAGCTAATAATGAAAAATTTAGAAATATTTATGAGGTTAATGCAACAGACTGAGGATTCTAAACAGATGTACATTGCAGTTATTGGAGATAGTTATTGCATTTTTTGCACATTGTTTTCAAAATGAACATAATGATCATTTTATTTTAAAATACACAGAGAATGCAACTGAATAAGTGTTGTATGTTTTCTTTTCATTTTTACGTTTTCTATTTTTTCTATACAATGCTACCTACATTTACTCTTGTTTTTCTATCAATACCTAAATATATGTTTGTGGAAAATATGTTTAATACAACCGCGCGAGATAAAAAACTTATTATTGCGTTTTCTTTCTTTTTATCGGAATTTTCAGTTGGCGACGTAAAACGTCATAATGCAACGCGACGTGACGCGATGCGATGCAACATTGAAAGATCGCGTTGTGAACGAATATTCTGTTCGTCGCGTTTCACGATGCCTACTACCTACTCTCGCCTGGCCTTTCGTTCTTATCATTATGCAGCTGAGGGCCAGCTCGGCGAGGCGACATGTGCCAGCCTTGAGACGCGCATCGCATACGGCGCGCGTAATTATTCGCGAGATTACTTGCTCTCTTTTTTTACCTTGCGAATGCGAGCGAGAGAGAGAGAGAGAGAGAGAGAGAGAGAGACAGAGAATACATAATCGTTGCGATATTGTAGACGTAAACGAAGATTCGCTTCTTACTCACTTTTGGATTGAGAAGTAGGTATCCCACACACGGACAACGCACGTCGGTTATGTCTCCACAAGGGGATAGATATATATCTATGTATATATATACATATATATAGATATCTTTTTCTTTCTCCCCCTTCCACAGTTTGTTCTCTCATACGAAATCCATGAACCGAACGCTGCAAGACGTCACCGTGTGTCACGTACTAACGACGCTGCTCCGCGACGCGGAGCATCATCTTTACGGGCACCATTGCGACGATCAAGTGCTGCCTGCAGGAACACGGACGTATACAAGCGTAAGCGTTAAACGACAACGAGCGGCCTGGTGGTGGTGGCGATTGGCGACGGCGACGGCGACGGCGACGATCAGTTCTCATTACGGCGGCTGGCTCATCAGGCAGGGCAGCATGCGCGCCCGTGTTGTCTCGCTACTCTCGCTAGTCGCTATCGAAAGCCGAAATTCATATGTATACGAGACAAACACACAACTTCATCACATTACGTATAACCCAAAATTACGTACTAATAATAACGCGCAATAATGTAGATATCTTCGGATCTGAATTATGATCAGTGATCACACACCAGATGAAACTATGAAGTCTATGAAAGCTGTGTTATGCTGAGCTGAGCAGTTAAGAGTTGACAGTGCGTTCTGAAATGTGTACCGATAGCATTGAAAATCTACAGCATACGTAACGTAAAATATAGATATTCAGTAATCTCAATATTTTGGAACGCACCATATGTTGTGCTCTTACATGATTGAAATTTGACCAATCAAAACAAAGTTTACTAAATTTGAGATTGGTTTTCTTTCTTCTAATTGGTTAAATCTTAAACCAATCTCAATCTCAATCTTTAGTCTAATATGGGCTTAAATACTAGCAAGTGTAGCACTCGGTGCAGCTAAGTGCAATTTCTGATTGGTTTTCTGCCTTTCAGCTCCAATGTGAATTCTTCCTTAAATCCTTTCAAATATGAGGCTAATAATCGATTATGATTGGTCAATTTTTAGGGCTTACGGCTGTATTGTAGAATAGGCTTAAAGTCTATTTTCTATAATCTATATTATAACATCATTCCTATCTTAAAATTGCCGTGTTACCTGCGTTGAAGCCTCTTTTCCCCAATGTTTAAAAATTCATATCTTCATGCAGTGTATCTACATTACATTAAAGTCGTTTGAGATGTATTGATTGTTCAATATATTATTTTGAAATCAAAATTTTTATACAAGTCCAAATAATCATTATTTATTAGTGAAAATATAAAAATAATAAATCCGTATTGACAATTCAGTATATTTTATGATAGCATTGAAATAGTGCTTAGGCATTGCTGTGAAATATTTATATATATTTATATATCAATAAAAAATTTAAAACTTCATATTATATTATTACAATTATAATCATGACTTCCAGAAATTTGGATTCTGCTGTAACCGCCTTTCAAAGGTCTCGTACCAGCCCTGCAATGTAGACAGAGGCACAAAGTTCTCAGTAGGATTTGGCGTCATTTGCGCCTGTGTCACTGAGAAACTAGTCACATAATTCACAAAACTTGTCAGCATCTTTTGCACAAATTCCATGAAAGAGTTGGTTGTAGTTGCAGCAATGGTAGCTATCTGCGGCTCAATCACTGCCAGTGGTTCAACTGATACACCGATCTGTGCAAAGTGTGAGATCTTACCAACTCCAAAAATTCCCAAATTGCTATTCTCAAATTCATGATTCTTCTTCAAATTTGATATCTTGAAGATAGCTGATGGTTTTAAATTAGAAATATATCCAAGGAATTGCCAATTGGGTGGTGCATTTGGATCTGGCCAGCTAAAGTATACTGTAAATAATAATTTTTTCAACATTCAATTTTAATATATATAAAATATAATATATAAAAAAATTTGATATCTATAGCTCATATGCAAAACTAAATCACACATTGCCTTACCTGCACCTCCCATGCCATCTGGGAAAGGAATAGTACCAGTTAGAAACACCACTATATGGTTTATATTGTCAGCGTCGGATACAGTAATCAAGAACTGATTCTCACCAACTTGTTGAAAATCGGTTTGGACCTAAAAAATAAAAATCATGTTCATATAAAATTTTACACACATATACATGCGTGCATGCATGCGCACACATGTTTTAATATATACTTCTAACACTGAAAATTCACATTGCTAGATATAGATTTTCAGGATTGACAGTGTATATCAAAATACAGCAATAATCATTAAATAAAAATAAATATTAGGAATATATAATAACAATGATTTTATAATAGTCCAATTCTTATAACCTAAAAAATCTATATTACAATATTAAAGATTCTGTTTTGGAGAGTATCTTGTTTTTATAAATTTTCAAATAATCAATTAAAATTTATCATTATTTATATTTTCTTTGTATCAATCCTATTGACATAAAGAACACTGATCATATCTCAATTGAATTGAACTAATGTTTGTAACTAAAGAAACAGTAATAGTTTTATGTAATTACATTAGCAAGATTACTACGATAGAGTTTATCTCAAACTTCCAGCTAATATAAAAACTTAAATCCATACATAATAATTGAAATTTTTTAAATATTTTACATCAAATTTAATTTTCTTGGACCCAAATTATATGTATAAAATTGATATAATTCAAAATTTATTTCAAAATTATTAAAAAAAATTTTTTATTACAGTCAGACACGGAGCAATTAAAAATAACATATTTATAATATTTGGAATTTATTATACCTCGTCAGAAATCCAATAATAAAGCAGAAATCCAAAAATGAAACAAAGATCTATTCCATAATCGAACCCGTGAAAAAGTTGTCATAATATTTTTAAAGAATTTATCATATTCTTAATTTATGAAAATGTTTAAAAAAATATCTTAAACTACTCCAGATTTTATAAGTTTTCTTGAAAAATTATAGAATAAGAAAAATAATGTTAGAAATCTTAATTAATATTTTAGAATTCACACATATAAAGAGTTCTTGAAGAAAGAAAATTTTCACCAGGATCAAAATAAATTCTATACTAACAAGCATGATAATATAATAAAAATAGAGTTTGATACTTACGAGTCGCCCAGCTACAATTATACCGAGCATTTTTATGGTCACATCTAAATATTCTAAATCACTCTTATGTTCCGTTTATCACAGAGTATACCTGAATAAACCGAAAAACTCCCATAAATACACAACAAATATCTTTATACCATTACCTTGCACTATCTATTAGAATTCTGTGCACAGTCACAATTGTATATATTTGCCAGTTTTGCCACAAATGCGTAATAAGGTAGAACGGGAACTTGGCGTGTTGAAAGCAGCGATATACGTTTTCATGAAGGAATATAAGGGTGGCACCTCCGATTGACACGTAACGATTGGACAACCAATCACGTTTGAAACTAGAAAGTCTCTAGACAATCCTAGGAACTCTTTTACTTGTTGAGGGTCTCTAGAGAAACGTGAGAGCGGCGCGCGCAACGACTCACTCCTCCGTACACTAGCGCCGTACGTCTATTTTCTCAATAGAGGAACTACGTACCACATTCATTTTCATTGTCGATAAAATTATAGCATCAAAAGTGGACGTGGTGCGTGTCTGTACTACATCCACAAATTGTGGATACAGCACAATTAGCAATACGGATACACGTATGTACACATCACGTCCACTTGCGATGATCATCTGCACGCGTCACAAACGCGTACGCTCATCTAAATAACGACACTGATAATTCCTTTTTTATTAAGCAATGGAAAAAATGGATTAGAATTTTTTAATTTACTTCTCATTAAGGATAACAACGCTGTAAAGTTAATTAATGAACGCAAATAATGAAACACCTTGTGTATATTATATATTATATATTATATTAATCGTAAATTACTTTAATGTCATACCTATACGCTATAGATTGCAGATTTGTCACCCCCGTACGATATACATATGTATATCTCTGTATGTATGTACATACGCATGTATATGTACGATGTATATTATATATACATAATATAATATAGATCATATATATACCTATTATATTATACGAAAATCTATTTTTTTAAATTAAAATTGAAAGTCTGGAAGACGAATAATTAATTGATTAATTCTAATAAGAATTAATCTGTGTTTAGGCGCAAAACTCGGATTTTTAAGCGGTTTGACCACATCACGCCATACCGCGCTGCTCGAACTCCCATACCATATTTGATCAAAAACGTCGCGCGCCGTGACTGACTATCCCTTTTACTTCGTCATCATGCTCGCCGTCGTGCTCGCGGTCGATACGTTAATGGATCACTTTTGATTTAGTAATACCAAGCTGACTCCTATATAGATCTACAGAGCTAATTAATCATGTCTGCTTTTATTTAATTCGTACGTACGTTACAGCTGATGCGCGGATCGGTGATTCAAAAAGAAAGATTTCAATAATTTTGTGCAGACATGATGTAAGAATAATTTTTAAAAATATATTTTAAATACCAAAAATAATGGAAAGAAAGACTATAAATAGTTCTAAACCATGTACTCATTTCCGAGTTATTAATAAAAATAGGGCACTGCAGTGAGATGGATAAAAGAATTAAGTCAAAATTAATTTAATTAATTTATTAATATTATTTTAATTCAATGACAATTAAATCGCATGTTTTGTTTTGTCTAGTATATATATATATATATATATGTATATATATATATATATATATATATATTAGTGAGATGTCTAGTTGAAAATATCTTAGATTAACCATGTCTCACAATTGCAGTAATGTTCGATCGATTGAATTCCTGTATATAATAGGCTTTAACAAAAAGTTTCTATTTTTTTGTAACAGTTAATTTTATATTTTATATATTATAATATATATCTAAAATCTTATAACTTAAATATGAAGTAACAAACGTAAACTCGACATATTTATTATTTATTTTTCTTTAATATCTCTAATCATTTGTGATTTATGGAAACTAGATAATTATGACTTGGTATTTCGCAATAAATTCTTTTTAAATTATAACACCGTGGCAAAAGTATAACGACTTTGCTTTTATGACCAATATTTTGAAAAAATCTCACACGTTTGCTTGCACCGCGTCAACAGAAATTCCGACTGAATGAAATAGAGCAATTTATTTTATTCACGTTGCTACTATAATTTGTTGTTAGCACACTTGCATGCGCGCAAAAAAAAAGACAATTATAAAGTCCGTGAAGTGATGTTACTCCGCGTATGATGGTATCGGTCGAAAATCGTTCATGATTGCATTGGGCGTGACTTTGATCTACGCGAGAGTATTTTTTGAATCGTGGCGCGCCCGCGCGCCAAATCGATCTTTGCAGATGCGACGGCCGATGACGTCATCGTCGCGCGCGGAGCGAAGCGGAGCTCGGAGCCTTAGGTGCGTGTACAGTCGGCGTCAACAGGCGTGTTGTATGACTTGTATGTATGTATACGAGTCAAACCACAAAATTCAAGGTCCTCGAAGGCGCGCGTGCGTGAGCACGAGCGTACAGAACAGAACTACAGACTACTGCGGAGGCCGGAGCGGACTGCGCGGCGGAGAGTGCGGAGCGGCGCAACGGTTCGCGCGGAGAGTCTGTGCGACTTCACCGTGTGCCGTGTGTGACATCACGCTTCATTGTTGGAGGTTTACGTCATTCCCGAGTCTGCTCGAAGTGTCGCGGCGCGCGCGGAGCGGAGACGACGCGGACGGTACGGTCGGTACGTCGAGTGCACGCATGCACGCACGCTTGTACGCACGCACGCACGCACGCATGCAGGCAAACAATCTCCTTCTCTCGTCTGTTCTCTTCGCGGGAAAGACAACAAGCGATAAAATGTCGCCCACCTCGTTGTCGCTGACTCGAGCTGGGAGATCGAATCGCTCGCACGCTTGCTCCTGCAGTGTCTGTCGCGCGTAAAACGGAAAGAAAGCGTTCGCGTCTGGAAGTGTCGCGTACAGGAGGTTTGCGACTGTTACTTGAAAAAAAAAAAAAAAAAAAAACAACAACACTTGGTGTCTTTGCAAAAAGAAACTTATTTCCGTTTGGAGGAATATGTCAATGCGCTCGACGTGTTGAAATAGCCGCTTAAAGTTTCCTAATATGTCATAAAGGAGACTCGGAGATTGTTATATCAATATATATATTTACGAGTGAGATCCGCGCGCGCGTCGAACGACTTCCGCAAGTTCCGCGCGATTCGTCATCGCGTCGTATTGCACATTGTCGATTAGCAGCAAGACAGCCCAGTGAAAATGTGATTGACCATCATTCGTCATCCATACGGCCCTTCTTGATCACCACTGTCGTGGCACCGTGTGATCCATCTTCCTCTAACGCACGATACGACGACGGCGACGACGACGACGACGACGACGACGCTGCCGGCGCGCCTCTCTTTCATTTTAAATATAACAGTGTATAAATAAGTATGAGCAATAGCGGGAGTGCGCGGCGAGGCTCTTCGCGTCGCCACTGCTGTTGATTTTTCTCCCGTCCGCGCGCGCGGATACGCGTTGTTTATCAACGTGCTCTGCGCGCCAGACAGAGATAGATGTCGATGGAGTACGAGTGAATGAGAGCGAGAGCGAGAGTGTAAACGAAACGTTGCGCGTCGTCTCGTCGGATCGGCCGCACTCGGAAAATTGTGACTTCTTCCATTTATACGTCGTGCTCATACGGTGTTCTTTGTGCTCTTTGGCATACGACATCAAACACCTGCATCAAGGTTAGTTGTAAACTGTAAACGCTTTGTTTTTCGATATTCTCCGCGCGCGCGATCCCTTCGATCTCTCTGCAGCTTGCCGAGTCGTCGCGTCAACGAAGATGATAGGACAGCGGACGATAAGCGACAAAAAAACAGAAGAGAGGAATGCGAACGCGCTTCTAACGAATATTATATATATATATTATCTAGTAAAATCTAATTTGAATAGAGATTCTCTCCAATCGACACACTTTATCGTGTTAAAATAGTGTTGATCGACTTGAAGTAGATTTCGTTAAAATTATTCAGTCAGCTTTACATTTATGTCAATAATCTCTCACGTACAATAATTCTTTTATTGAATGTGTTCTTGTAAAAAGTAACTTAATTATAATTTAATTTAATCGATCGATATCGATGATTCTATGGCCTATATGCTATATATAATATCTGCAATTGCCTCTAATGCTTTCGTAAAGAAATGACGGAGAGGTGACGTGAGAAGGTGGTTGGTTGTGTAGTATGTAATACCTATATGTGTATACACAACAAGTATCCGTCAGTTGTGATCTTGAAACGGTGACAATGGTAAACTAGCTGCTGACAGGAGCGCTCGAACCGTTCAACTTTCTTTACAATTATTTGTGATGTGAAAAAACTTTTTTTTTTATTTTGCAAATTATTTGTATGGTTCAACGAATCTGTCATTAATTAAGAAATATGGGCAATAATGTATGTACATGATTATATGACGGTGTACATTTTTGGGAAATATAGTTAGTGGAGTAATCGTGATATAATAATTCGGCAAAAGTGAAAAAACATCACATAACTATACATATTATCAAGTTCTCTCTCTCTCTCTCTCTCTCTCTCTCTGTTTCTCCCCCTCCTTTTCCTCCCCTCTCTCTTCCTTTCTCCCTCCTTTTCACTTCCCTTCCTACTGCTTCCTACTTTCCTCATAATTTGAAAATTCTAATTAAACAAACATTTAGATATGTTAAAAATTTCTTTGTGTTTTTGTTTAGGTGAGCTTGGAACATTTTTAATTAGAAGAGGATAAAGCTTTATTCTTGATAGCGATTTAATGTGCTGGCATGTCTGACAAAAAAATCATCAAGGTTAATATAATTGTTATATTTATAATTAAAGAGAATCTGTCAATTACTAATTATATGTAGGCTATATATTATGTACCGTTATATGTTGTAAATATAAATTTCTCTGTTTAATGAAGCAATTTTATTTATTTTAATCAGAGAAATCTTATAATATTTCTTATTTTTTTTATAGAAAAGCTTGAAAGTCCTAGCTGAGAAGAACATAGATATGTTTATATTTCCAAAAGTAGGCATTTAAATTGGTTGCAGTTTTAAATAATGAGGAATATTTATCGTCAGATATTGATCAAGCATAAACTTAACGATCACCAGTATCTCCAATGTAAGTGTAGTAAATTTTTTTTCTTATCTGTGCATCTAATTTTTATTTGGCTAGTAATGCCAAGAGAATTGCTTATTGTTGCAGATACAAGAAATATACGTGATGCTGTTGCTTCCAAATTGCTTGCAGCTCTACAACAAGCTGCAGCATGATGCTGAAGATTGTCCCGAATATACCGATGCCTGTATAATGTTAGAAGAATTTTGCATATTTGCCGCAGAACTGGCACGTCTGTGCGAGCGAGGGTAACATAAACTTTACAATATATTGACAGGTTTGACTTTGTTAGGTAGCATCTGAGTAGCGGTGACGATCAAATATATTTCTTTTATACAGTAACGGCTTCCATTCGTCGCAAAGAAACGTAATTGTTATTTGCACTAGAGCAAATTATTTTTTTCTGTGTACATACGTATCTTTGACCAATCATTAGGTGAACAGAAATCTATATGTTTCAGGCAAAGGTATTGACCATTTAATTATGATTATAGTGGGAATATTTAAAAGCGATGATGAAACGCAACGCAATGTCTGTCATTACAAAATTATTTGATATTTGGAAGTACGTTCAGCTACAAAATGATTAATCCGTGCCATTAACTAGTCTAATACATTATATTACCACACTCTGATGAAATTTATCATTGATGATTCATTTTCATCTCCTCTGCTATACAGATTGATATAATTTCATGATGTGGAATAACTATTTGTAATTATATGGAATAATTATTTGTACTTAAAAATTTGCAGATTAATTGCACGCACAGTCGCACACCACACACGTATTAGTCATTGTTTTGTGATTAGTTGTATATTAACGAGTTGAACGAATACATTTGTTTAAATCGTATCATTTAAATTCAGATTATTTATTTAGATAATTTTATATGATTAAAATTTAGAGAGATTATTTTTTTTAAATCGACAAAAATGTAACCAATTATATTATAAGAAAGAAAATGAAAAAAAATGATTCAAATATATGTGACCTAATAATAAGAATAAGAAATATAAAGACTAGCAGTTTTGTCCTATACTTTTATAATTGCAGTTCTACAATTGCACTTTTTTCCGTAAATATTGAAGAGAAATTTAAAAAAAAAAAAAAAAACTTTAAATCTAAACAAAACTTATTAAAAAAGTTTTACAGTAAATTTATTATAGTTTTAATAATCACAAAGTAAAAAAAAGTGTTTAAAAACATAATTTCGATAAACATTTTCTGAGTGATAAAATTTTTTTATTTTAACAAACAGAAAAACATATTTTTTCTCCTAGAGGTAGTAGATAAGATACCAAAATTTATATTTTCATGCATAGTAAAAATGGTAAAATTTATTTGAATGATTATGATCAAAATGATGAAGAATGAAAAACTAACAAAAGTTTATTCCTAATCATAGAATTTCACGAGTCAGTCTATGTATACAGGCACTGTTACGTGCGGTCGAATAAATAGAAAGGTCACTTAATTATTAAATCCTGTCGCAAATATAATGGTTACCCTGTCGAGTGTGATAATACTGGATTATTATATGAATATGAAAAGATTGAGATTATATTACATATTTTTATTCTTGGCCTCTTTTAGAACAACAGTTGTTCCTATGAACGCCTCTTGCTCATTACACGGTGATGGAAAAGGCACTAATCACAAAACTGGCTCAAGTAAGTGGCAGCAAATAATAATGTGCTTGTAGTTTTTCAGGCGTTGTTCAATTGTGTCATTGAGGGAGTCTTAATTATTTACTTATTTAATTGATTAATTTTTTAGAAAGGATGGCATATGAGGTATTTTTGGGCGGGTCTTGTAATCCAACTACCTGGAGGTCAGACATAGCCATACCGACTCTTCAGAATCTTGGCATTACTTATTATAATCCTGTAAGTAGATTATCTTCCTTGTTTTCTTCATAATTGCACACGTGTTCTTCTTATTGCAATTGAATTACGTATGTATCTCGCAGCAAGTGTCACAATGGGGTCCGGAATTAATAGCCCAGGAATACGAGGCAAAACAGACGGCGCGAGTCTTACTGTTTGTTATTGACAACCAGACGCGCAATAGCGCGGGCATCATCGAAGCAGCTCAACTGGCAGCTACACGTAGCGAGTCCTTGGTTCTTGTCATTTATCCGTATCGTCAGGGACAAACTATACTTGGAGAGACTGTTTCCATGCAGTATGTTTCATGTGATTAATTGATTTAATACTACTCAGTTCGATTTTGCTATGATTTTTCTCTTCTCAATACATATTTTATTCTTCAGGGAATATTATGATTTGATGAACGGGTTATTAGTGCTTCAATACCTAATGGAAAGGCAAAGGATACCAATATTCGAGAGTGTGTCAGTTGCCCTTCACTGTACGTCCAAGGTAATGGCTCTAATTAACAAACAGATTTTTCTGAATTAATGATTAATATGCATGTATTATGTATACATAGATGTTACGTGAAAAGATCAATGTGCAGGATTGCATGAACACTGAGGATGGCATCAGACCTATAAGAATCTCGCTTACTCAGAATGGAATGGATACAGTGTAAGTTTCTATTCAATGTAATGGCCTAGCTATGTTATATGTAAACATATGTAACTTAAAAACTTAATATCTTGATAAATAGATGTAACGAGAATTAAAACAAACATGTATCATTATAACTTATGTCCGGAAATATCATCGAAAATAATCTGGCAGCGTGTAACATTATTTGACAAGAAAGTGACGATATCTAAAAGAGTTATGAGATTAAAATCATAAGCAAAAGTAAATCAGTCAACAATAACAGTTTTTATTCATATTAATTTAATAAGAAAAAAAGATATATTTGGAAAGTAACAAAAATTGTATTCTTTCGAATTAACGTGTTTCTATGATACTTGTCTCATGTCACTAAGCATCTATAGAATTAAGTCTTAAGGCTGTATAAGAGATGGCTTTCTGACTGAATCTTGATGATGAGATGCATTCGGTACATAAAGCAGCATTTAAATAAATTCATTAATTAGATTCTAGAAAGGAGTCTTTAAATGGAGATTTGTTGATTAAAGTGCTACATGCTAAGATGTACATAATGATTCAGAACAAACGTTTGCTTGTATTTCTGACTTAATTCTTGGACAATTTTTCTTTTTCTAAAATTTAAACTAAGCTTTTTCTACTAAGCTTAGTTTTGAATAAAAAGAAATAATTTGCTTATTATGAGTCAAGTACAGGAATAAGAGTGGCGCGACAATTTATCATCAGACGCGGTAACTTATTTGAAATGCCTGCTGTGATCAGCTGATCGCGCGCGCGCGCGCGCACGCATACACATTGTTGCATTGATTTGCTATTTATTTATACATTCTAAAAAGATAAATGTGAGAATTGTACTTTCTACAATCAACTAATCGTGCGCGCGTACGAGAGAAAGTTGTAGATCCGCGCATGTGTATATAACTCTCGTATATTTTTTAATTTGATATTCACGAAGATATTTTCGAACAAAAATATAATTAAATAAGAGTTGTTTGTTCTGATTCTGATTTCCAAAAGTTGCTGAGAATATATCTCAATATGTGAAAAAATAGAAGAAATAACATAAAAAGCATTTACAAATAATTTATAAAGAAATTTTGTTACACGACAGAAAATTGCGGGAAATTTTCAAATCTATGGACGTTAATGATAGTGGCACAGTAAAATTGGGGGAAGTATGTACGTTTTATTACATCAAGTATTTTGAAAAATTATCCATCAAAATTAATACAATTTTTTTATTTCTAGGTTTGGGTGATGTTGCAGTCGAACACAATGTGCAACACTTTATCTCTCTCGGATCTGCTCAACACAGTAAATAAGTCCGGTAATATTTGCGTATCATATTTTTATGGTGTTTAATAGAGAGATTTACGTTTTGAAAATAAAAAAAACTATTAAAATACGATATGTTTGCCGCGCAGAAATCTACAGGACATTGATAGATGGATTTCCGGCAAAAGATGACCCAACCGAATTACGAATCAATTTCGAGCAGTTTTGCGTTCTAGCAAGCGAGTCGTCGTGGATGCGGACGAAGAGTAATGGCATCTCTTGCGAAAGTGAGATACCTTCAGTATGGAATATATTATGTAGGAAGACCTCAAATTTCTTGCGCCGAGTTATCGTACATCCTTTTAATCGCTTCCTAGGTATTTCTGATTTTCAACAATTTCCCACGATCTTCAATATACTCACTGTCTACACTTCTTGCCTGAATTTTCCATGTTCTCACCTTCCAAAATTGAGCACCCGATTTCATCTATTTAGAGCAGGTCAAAAACAAAAATCTTTACGTTAAGTTGTCAAGATTTAAACTTTTTTCAGATTGGACCAATTCCTTTGTACAAGAGTTCGAGAAAAGAGATATTTATGTTGGCGTAGTCAGTAAAGATCTGTTTTGGTTAGAATCTTCCGCAGTACCATTGATAGAGTGAGTATCAGTATCAATTCAATCACCTGATAATCACCTCTCGTCCGATTAAACATAGTCTCTTTTTATTTGCAATTTTCTAGGTCAATGAAATTGTCTCTATACCGACCAAACTTGAACGAATACAACATAAGAGTATTGCCGCAAGAATTGCAGAAGATAAAGAACTCACGACTGATTCTGTTAATAGTGCCGCAGCATTCACGCGGCATCGCCATTATGGCATTGGCAGCTCACTTGATTGGACTGCGCGCTAAGCTCGTCCTCTGTGTTCAAACTCTTCCTGAGGGTTCTATTGTGTCTGATGAACAAGTATGTCTGAGTATACTTTATCCACACACTTGCTCCTTTGCTCAACACACACACACACACACACACACACACACACACACACACACACACACACGTGCGCGCACGCGTAGTATAATTAATATTAGTGTATAATGTATGTTCAATTTTAACAACAAATCAACACGCGGAATTGATTATCAAATAATTTAAAGCTCCTGATTAGTCACCGCGGACATATCGTGATGTCATAAGCGAGAAATGACAAAGTAAAAGTTTCTTGCATACCATTTTCAAATAAAGAGAACTTGAATGAAATAAAAAGATAAGATTGCTTTACAAAACTTGGTAAAAATGGGTGGAAGCTGTCCTCCCCCCTTCGAAAATTGGTAAAAGGCATGTGAAGTGAAGCCTGTTCAGGTAAGAAAGCACGGTTTGACAGCTGTTGAAAGGAGCGAAAAACTATTCTTTTACGTATAAAATTTAAAGATAACATTATTTTTCATCCATTTTTACAAATTTGATAAATACGAGACAAGCCACATTTTCACAATTAAGCATAATAACGAAATGGCATGCAAGATAAAATTTTATTGTCAACACTTTTCACAATAAACTTCGTTGTACAAGAACGTCGTATGTCGGTATTGTAAGCAGTAAGAAATGATCAATCACAGTCGAGTATTCTCCTTACACATTCGACTGTGATTGATAAATTCTTACTGCTTACACGATACTGGCATACGACATATTGTAGAATTCTTACGGCTTATGACACCGACGTATTGTAAAAAAGGCCTAATACGATGAACAATGTTCTGATTCCTACCTATCGCCATATTGTGCCAAATATCGTATGATTTGGAGTAATTAATAGTAATTAATATATGAAACTAACTCTTTCATATATTACTGAACAAAGTTGTGTGATCTATGCACATTTGCTTATATGTATACATTAAAAAAAAAATTTTTACTACTACAGTCACCTTTACTCACGTTTACTATTATACTTTTACTATAATAGAAATGTAATATTATTATATATTTTTTATTCATTTCTAGTTGACTGAACAAGCCCGAAAAGATTACAACCGGGGGAGGATGTACCTGTCGGACTACGCAACGCGTGAAGGTGTACCTGTTTTTCAGAATATCGCTGATGCTTTGCAACATGCGATACAATTAGTTCAAAGTCCTTGTTGACTTAATTGCTCTTTACTTTTTTTTTCTATCGTTTCATACAGATAAGCTCATTAGTTCGACAACTAATTTATTTTTATTCTTAACAATGTCCAGCTACCATGTTTGAGATCTATGCAAACATACCATAGGTATAATGATGATGATAATGCCGTATTATCATTATTATGTCTATAAAAAGCGATTGTTAATTATATAGCAATTCATCCCGTTATGCGTTGGATACAATTGCTAATAAGCCTGCTTTTTCTCTGATAATGTTGCTTATCGTTAATGTCTCATCAATATCTAGCTGTACATAGTATTATCACTATTGTCATTTTTAAGTTCTTGACAAAGTTAAATCACATGCAATCAAAAGTTATTTACGTCAAGATATATTCTATTTATTGTTAAACTATTTGTCATGAACACAACATTTCTGAAGCAATTATTTTTACTTTCGTTGATCGTTATATATGGTCCTTTTATTTTTTATTTTATTTCTAAAAAATATATAATTTTATTGATTTAATGAGTCGCGAGCAGCTAACCATTTTATTATTTAGTTATTTTTAATTATTATGTTCTCTTATCGAATGACGTTAAAATCCTCATTTAATTATTATAGAACAGTAAAAAAGAAAAGCAATCTCTCACGGTAGATGGACATATACAATTTTTCTCTCGTTTTTTTTTTTATAGTAACTTAATGTTCGTAATTTTTTGTAACCTTTTGGTAACGTGGTTGAGGATTGATATATATATATGTGTATATAAAACTCATAATTGTCTCTAACGATCTAATCAAATTATTAACTTTTGAAATGTAATCAAGGAAGGATGCGAGATGGAAGATGTGTGGGATTTACTTGTATTTTGAATGCGTGGTACATATTTCGACTGACAATGAGTATATACACGCACACGCGCACAAACCGCGCGCATGCAGTATGATAAATAGGCGTTCTTAGCACATTTCAACCCGCAAATGTAAAATTTCAACTGCCAATGATAATGAGAATTTCAATAAGAGAAACTGTACCTTTAAATTAAACAATTAAATTTAAATCAGTGTATGTACAACATAGACCTATATAAGTATGGATTGACAATAGAAGCGAAGTCGTGATCAACGCGCCATATGTTTTATTGACATGCGTTATGTATATTTTTTGAGAAAGAGAACCTACTAAAAAGTACGTTTCTCTCCAACCTCTTATGGACTGGATGCTTATACAGAAACTACAGCACATTGCCAGTTCATACTTGTAAGGTCTATGATATACGTACGTATGTACGTACGTACAACATACGTACAACGTATGAGTGAATAAAAGTGAGTAAAAGAAAAAAAGGAGATCGAAAGGACAAGCGAGAACGAGATGTTAAACTATTCAATACCTGCGAATTGCTCGAAATCTTGCTCAGAAATTTCATAGTTTAAAGAAACAAATGAAAAAAAAAGGAAGTGGATTGAGAAAAAAATCGTTCATTATATTCTTTTGCATCATATCACTTTACCTTATACAAGTAAATTATCAAACATTTTTCTTTTTGAAATAAAATGAAGCTATTACTATTTCTCACGCCCTTTCCTTTCGACATCTTTCTTTACACGAAATCTTGTACACGAAATCTTGATGTATTGACTGTTATGTGCGACAGCGAGTAAAAATTCTTCGAATTATGCTCATACTTAATGATCATTAAGATTATATGATCCCGATTATAACGGAATCGATTTTAAGTGTGCCTAAATTTATGTGTTACATCCCAATTGTGTTAAAGATACTCGAAATACGATACGTTTAACGTCACACGCGTGAATAAAAGCTTATATAAGAGCCTCTGCATGAAATTATATGCTTATTATCGCTACACGTCATTATCTTTTGATCGAAATGATTTCGAACGAGCAATCGCACGATTGTACTGGATGTAATATATTATCAGTCGGATAAATGACTTCTATTCGGCTTTCGGTCTACAGTCCTCGTCATTTTTATTTTCTCTATGATCTACCCTTTTTTCTGTATTATACTTTCCAGGGAAGTAGTACCTTCGTATATTCTTGAGCGATAACAACACCGGTATCATAGCCGGCAGAAATAGAGGAATGTACACGGCGTACCTGTAATATCGCAAAATTATTTGTAATATAATTTAAAAAATATATGCTAAATTTTCATAATGCTTTCTATTAATTTTATATAAATCTAAGAAAATTCATGGAGAGAAATTGAACGAATTTTTTTTTCTATGTTACATTGAGAATGGACCGTTGTAATCATTTCAAGTTTTAGACAAAAATATTTCATAATTTTATATTGTATATATTATAACATATAATTCAAATTATATAGTATTATATATTATATATTACATATATAACACGTTCCATGCCATATATAGAGCCTATGCGCCCTAGGCTGAATTTTCTGTTCAGGCAGCTTGATATTTTCGTTAGTACATGTAATTACACGTAATATTATAAAATATTCTTAAAATTATGTATTGATAAATTGTCACCGATAAATTGTATTATATATAACACAGTTATCACATCGTGTTATGAGCAAAGCTATTAGTCTCGTCACATGCGACTCACGCCGCTTGAACGGAAAGTTATCAAAAAAATCGATCTGGCAAAGGAATATGTTGAAATAAAAATTGCGAAAAAAACTTCATAATTTCTTTTTTAAAAAGGAAATATGATACAATAATTTTTTTATAGTATGTACCTTTTGTAAGATATCTTTTAGTTTAGCTTTTCTATACAATATTTTCAATATAATTTCTCTCTAGTCATTCTACATAATTAAATATAATTAAATATAGCTTGTAAATTTTTTTTTTTTTTTTTGAAAATTTAGTTAAAATATGTATAGAGTAATTGATCTATATAATTCTATCGATGTAATAAAAAAAAAAACATTAAAAAAATATGTAATTTACCTATTAGATATTAAAAAATGGTCCACTCTACAATATTTATACTTTCTTCTTTCAAATGCGAAATAGCATTGTTTTTCTTCGATCAATACGAACAATACTATTTCTGTTTTACATTTTAAAATAAATTGTTTCCACTTTTTTTAAGATAATTTAAAAAGGAACTCACTTTTGATCCTCTGGAAAGTAAAGAAGCGCCAAGAGTGTTGGATCGGAAAAAGCCGCTTCAGAGATAATAAAAGCTTCTTTGCTAAGGATGAAACTACGCTCGAGGTCGCCTCGTCGCAGATGCTCAGCGGACTCGTGCACTAGCTCAAGCGCAGTCTTAATTCTGTTTCCTACTACATCCGTGATAACGATATTGCTGATTTCTTTGAGTAGTTGCGCCAGAGATTGTAAAGTTAATTTGGCTGACGTTAACTGCTCGATGGTGCGATATCTCAACAAGGAATCAATTTCCCAATCGCGTGATTTTAGTCCCACCAATGGCACCGCTGTTACTCCGTTAATAGATTTCTGAAATTATTTACTTCTTAAATCATTTTTACATTTTAAATCTCTTTGTATATTATCGATAAACGATTGTAAGATAAAAGCTGTTTCGTAAAAATCGTAACAACGCTTTAGGACAAATTTCTGAAATTATAAGATTTTGAAAATTTCAATGCCAAAATATTGAGATTATAACAGTTTTTTAATTATAAAAGAAGTTAAAGTTAAGGAATTAAATTGCCTAAAATTTGCACGCTCAAATTTGCAGAATGACGTGAGAGGCGATAGTCAACATTCGCTTTTAACTCTGTATTATGTAGATTTGAATAATTTACACAAATAAAACAGACTAGGAAAAAAACTAGAAACTACTCTATTTTAAACAAGTTTTCATATGTTAAGATATTAAGATTCATATGTTGTCATTACCATTTCTGGAATGCCTAGCAATAATCTGAGCTGTGCCAAAAATGTGCCTACTATGGCAGTTTCCTCAGGAATGACAGTAACCGCTTTATCTTCTTGCACGTTTTCACAAACTTCTGATGGTGGATTAATCAAAACCACACCACCCCATCTATATTAATTGTGCAATATTGATAAAAATTAATTAAATTAGATTTAAAATAATACACTTTTCAAAAAATTTTTAAATATTAGATAAATATTGTATATTACATAACATAGCAAAAAACTGCAGTTGTCATGTGCATTCAAAGAAAGATTAAGAATATTTATAATAATAAAAAAAGGGGAAAAAAACAAATCACGAATCGGGAGTGAAAGATATACCTTGGAGAGAGAAAGGCTTCAACGTTGCTATTTGTTCGCGATCTGTGCCCGCTGTGGGTATAGATATGTAGAGGCGCGTTGTCACACGGTACCATATAAACGACTAAATTGATACACGGATGAAGACTAACCTGCGACGCTAAAATTTCATCAGATATGCTTGATGTGTATTTGTATTTTTTGCACGTGTTACAAACCTAATTTTTTCTCCAACGGCGTTACTAGTTGCGGCAGGACGCTTTCGCGCAAGGCGAAGTGCCTGCGACTTGGGCTACTGTCGGGTACACGTCTGGGATTCATATCTAATGGTAATAAATATAGCCACTGCGATTTGATCGAAAAGTTACTCAAGATGGACAGCTCGTCTAGAAATGGTTGCATGTATTCTACAACAAGACATTAAATTTCAATTATGCATGAGTTGTTACATAGTTTTTGCTGATTAAAATCGTCGATGTTTAATGATAATAAATATTTAATAAGAAAGCTTTCTATTTTTTGAAATTTTTATAAATTTTTAGGAAATTTCTTTTTATTCAAATTTCTAACGGAAAAAGTTAAAAAATTTAAATTGTAGATTAAAATAAATTAGAGAGTATTGACATTTTCAACTATTATATTATATCAGATAAGATCTTATGCCTAATGACTTCTTATTTTTCTAAATTTTTTGTCTCAAATGTATTCCGATAAAGTGCTTTTATTTTTTAGTTAGAAAAAAATTTAAATAATGTTCTAGTGAAAGAGCTATCGCTATATAATATATGAAACATTAAATGGATGCACTGCGAAAAGCAGTGTGCGTGAGAGCGAAGAAAAACGATTCTATATCTTCAATAACTAAATATCGTATGCTTAATTTATATGACATATTTTATGATGCAGAACAGTTTTGAGCTGGATATGCATTACGTCGAGAATCTATTATAAAACTTTAAATGTATTTTTCTCAAAATCTTGTGTGTCAAAATACATCTTTCTGCAGTTTACTCTTTATTTCCTAAAAATTTCTCAAAAACGATAATAGATATCAATATAAATATATTTTTTTCTAATTGTAATTGTAGAAATTATATTTGGCACAGAACGTAATTACTTAAGTCTTATTTAATTTTACTAATCTAATACGAATTGGATATCGGATAATAATTCTTAAAAATTTCCAAAAATCCTTGCAAAAGATTAATATTGGTTATAACATAATAATTATACATGACATGTACCTTCAGTTACCGTCTTGAGATCCCAAACAATCTTTAGTTTTTCAGGCTCAGGATTAACTAAAGTAACTAGAACATCGTATGCCGGGCTGGCTGGAAATCGTCTCCTATTCTCCTCGTCTAAGCTATATATAGTAGGCTCCGCGAGCGCATTTTTTGTCAGCGCCAATGACTTGTCATGTAGAATCCATTCCGACAATACTTGTATCAATTTAGAAACCCCTGAAGACACATATTGATATTTATATCATAAAAAACTTGATTACTTTTTAGATAAGTCCTGTTAAACGAAATATATTTATTTAGATTCGATTTAATTAACAAGTTTAAAGATAAATGTCAAAATTATTATACAGTTCAACAGCAAAAAATCCAAAGAAAAATATTCCCTTACAGATTTTTACTATACATGCGCAATGAGTTTCTTCCGTACATTCGCATTCCAGTTAAGCTAATCGATTCTAATCAAGCGATTTTGAATCAAGTAGATGTGACTGATTCAAACAAATTGTTTCGATTATTATTTAGCAATCAACTTACCGGTTTCGGTAGAGAAATATAGCGTTCTCTTTGAGCCAACCAGAACAGCGTCGTTTAAATTTGTCGCTTCCAGAAGTAATAAACCACCCACATCTAGATCAAAAGTCGAGGCCACCTTTTCGAGTTCATGATATGTGAAAGCAGATGCCAAGAGATTATTGGAAATTACTTGATATTCCACGTCCAGCTGATATATTTCTAAAAATTAAAGATCAGTAGATTCCTATACGTGTGGTTGGTCGAAATGTCAAGATTATATATATTGTACAATGTTGAAAGTTGAGCATGTGTTGATTTATGAAGAAAAAACAAAAATATATGTAGATTTTGAAAACCATTCTTGTATCGCATAGTCAAAGTTATATTCGAATTTTTTCACGCAATATAAAAAATTTTCAAAAAAAAGTTTTTTATTTTAAAAATTAAATGCCATGTTATCTGCATTGAAGCTTCTTTTCCCCAATATTTAAAAATTCATATCTTTCAGAAAAATAAAAATATCGACTTCTTTCTGGGCTTATCTTACTGATGAATTATGTGGCTATTTTCTAAAAAATCGTGATTTTATTTAAAAATGGTCGATTCAATATGGCCGATTAAAACGTCATTTTATTGAAAATTGTTAAAATTTGTTTAATTAAAATGTAATTTGGTATAAATGTTACTGAAAGATGTATGGAGTTTAATACGCACCGCGCGCAAAGCGTCATTTTTTTTGAAAATTTATTTTTTATCAAAAATTGTTAAAATTTGTTTAATTAAAGTGTAAATTGGTATAAATGTTATTGGAAGATGTGTGGGATTCAATACGCAGCGCGTGCGAATCGCGCGCCCTGTTATGTACTAGTTTAGAGTAAGAATGAATTGTTAAAAAATCTTTTTTGTCTTCACTTACCAGCGTTTTCGAAAGTTCGCCTGATTTCACGTGCGATCAATTCAGCGCGATTATGTGAGAGTGTTGCGACAATAATCTTTGTGGTGATTCTAATGTCCAGTTGCGATAAATCGTCAATTCCGGCATAGGGCAGTGTAACACGAGGCACTGTTGTAGTGTGCCACCAGAGAGGCACGCCAATTCCCAATAGTAGTACTGCGAATGATACACTCGCGTACACTCTGTATTTCTCTATAACAAAAGATAACATAATATTCTGAAATTATATAATCTGCAATTATAAATAAAAACTAAAGTATAAAAATATTTTTATAAATAAATTGTGTATATTATATGCTTAATTGTATTTCAATTTGTATATAATATTACTTGATAACAGAACAATGAGAACTTAGCACATTTACTAATTGTTTCATTAATTTAAAATTCTTTAAATAAAATATTTTCTTGAAAATATGATTAAAAACAAATAAGTGAGAACAGTAAAGTCTATTTTCTCACAAGGCTTTTTTTTTAAGTAATGGTGCCACTGTTTTGTTCTTGTAAAAAAGTAATGCTTCCAAAATTGTAAACGATAATGTATATAATTCCTTAATCCAATAATAACATATTATACTATGAGAAATTATGTAATTATCTCTGTTTAATCTAAATTTTTGGAAATAAATTGTAAAATAGCTTCACTGATTCCCATCTTGTTGCTGCAATAGTATAAGCAAACGCTTTTCCCGCCCTCTTAACCTTCGAGATAAAATTGAACCAGATCCAATTTGGTCGTTAGTATTCTGCTGTGCGGGTATGACGAAACATCAATGTTAAGTTCGCGGCCATGTGATATCGTGATCGCAAGATTATCTGAGTACCATAGTCATTTTTGGCAATCGGCGAAAACTGTCTATGACGAAATCCGGTAACCGGTATCAATCATGAAAGATACGTAATCGAAAAACAATGTAATTATGATAATGCTAAGTAACAATATCGAGTTATATAACAATTATTATATGTATGTTATATACTAATAATGAGCTTAAGAAACGAGATTTTTCTGTCATTAAAAAGTTTTCGAGAAAATATGAATAATATTAACAAATTGAATTTTTTTTTTTAAAGAAAAGTGTATGGGCAGTAAAAATAATAAAATATCTATGATAATAAATTTAATCTAAATATTACGTTAAATACAAAATTTCATAAATTTGATTAGTGACTTTAACAGGTACATCTCTTTCAATAGAGGTAAAAATCTAAACTATATCAATTTAAGAACTAATAAATAACTCTTGCCTTTGCTTCTAGGTGTTCTATCTAATAATTTTGTTTTTCAAAAATGATGAGAAAAGGAAAAATGAGCATTAATTTTATTTAGTTTAGAAAGTCATAAAAAGTTAATTTCTATATACAATAACAATTCAAAATTTTTATTTTGTTAAATTCGAAAGCTTATAAATATTTAATACTGAGCCGCATTTTTTGTTATTCCCCTGGAAAGTACATATATTTCGCATTATATATGTTTATATCTACAGAACATATGTACAAAGACCGAATATACTGATCAATTTAATTTAACTCACTTTATTTTCCCTTCCTCTTCTCTCCTTCGTCTCTTCCTCGCTTCCTAACTTTCTTGATCATCTTTTTCATATAAAGTAATAAAAATAAATGTTACATACTTCTATTATACATATATATAAGATCCATCATTATTAGAAATGTTATATGTCTCGATTATGTCTCTACATACATATTGCATTATAGATATGATAATCAAACTATTGTTTTTTCAAAATAAATTTTTAACTATCTCTGTTTTTCAGTTCTCTAAAATTATATAAGAGTTATAAAGGTCTATCGCATAGTTTTGTGAGATTGTATATGTATATGTGTGTTTGTAATCATTGCTAATGCATGAGGTTAAACAAACTGACATAAAGCGAATATAGGATGTGAGCATATTTAACAGATCAATTAATATGCTCCGTCTTTATATTACATAATCGGGAGTGTGTGCAAGCACACTCTATGTAAATATGTTATACACTGTCTGTGAAGAATACGGAATTACAGATTACGATCAACTAAATAATTGTCTTCGTTTTCTCAAGTCAACAATCATATCCAACTACTCACGATATGCAACGTGAATACTTAAAATTATACAAAAGATATAAATTATCTTTTTTTCATAAGAAGAAAATGTGATACATTTTCATATTAAAACTAGAAAATTTTCCGGACATAAAATACATATAATCGTAATTTAATATTCGATTTTTAATGTCGTAACAACATGTCATGCTATGTCATAGCAATTGAATAGTTCATTTCTAAAGCTACGTAAATATCTTATCCAAAAATTAATTTCAAATAATTAAGAGTATATACAAACGAATTAAGAAAATATGTATTTAATGTATATTATGTATGTACAAAACTTTATATAGTTTTAAATATTTTCAAGAAATTACGATATAACGTTGTAATTAATTTGATAAATATATATTTGAAAATATTTTATCGTCTTTATAATTACACACACGCGCGCGAGTGTATTTTTTATAGTTATAAAAAAGATAAAATAATTTATCAATGTTTAATTTATAAAAAACCAAATTTAAGTGAACAAAATACAATATACAATTCATTTCTTAATTAAAATTATTATATTAAAACGTAACAATTTATTTAATCTTAAATTTAAAAAGAATTTCTGAAAGGTTTCGTATTTATTTTCTTTTAAATACTATTATTATAATATATTAAACTATAAATTTTTAATTAAGTGTTAACAATTTAATGATATAATACTGTATGTATGTACATCTTAAGTTAATTACATAATAAACGAGTAGCAAAACTGCCAAAAAAATTAAAAACTGCTTTGGAATTAATTAATTGCTTAAGAAAGTACATAAATATATATAGTTATAAGTTTTTATTTTTATAATGTAACGTTTTACTGTTAATACAAATTTTATTATTTGCTTATGCTTGAGTGCCGAATAGTTAGAAAAATCGTATCAATTTGTATAAAGTTTGTTTTGATGTATCGACATGCACGGTCGTGTCTAATCGCATCTAGATTTGATATATCAAATCATGTAGCATGTCCATAAATTCATTACTTTATGACTCAAAGTATAATATTAACTTAGTTTATATCATGTAAAAAAGTTGATAACGTAAATATTCGTGCCAATAACTTGTAACGCTCTATCACACCTGTTTATTTACCATTCATAATCAGAATAAAGTTTAGTCATAAAAACTGAAAATATATATTATTACTATACTGCTTTTTCCTTCCTTATTATATTATTACTACGACGGTAAAAAAAAAAAAGAATTTCATAGACATTATATATGAATCTTACTGATTACATAAGCATGTAATATATATAGGAGTTGTTATATGTATAAAGAACTGTTGCGTCATAATTTAATAACATCAAAGGAAAGATATTATTTTAAAAATATATTTAATTATTTGCCATTAACTTTATTTTACTTCAACAATTCTTATTTTATTTTATTTTATTATATATATATATATATATATATATATTCTTAGCAATATCAAATTATACAGCATATTGTAACAATATCTGTCAGAGTTGTTCGTTATTTTTTACAATCATAACCAATTTGTGATGGTGGTTTAATTTTAAGTATACTTATACGAATTATACGTAATCGTTTGAATTGCTTGAAATGAGACAAATGCAGGATATTACAACGGTTTTACAATCTAGGTTTTAGGATGTAACATTTTCCTCATCGTTTATCTGAATTGATTATTTCGTAAAACGTATAATACATGATAAAGAAGTTTCGTTTATTCGTTAGTTTTCTTAATTACGCACATCTTGCATGCACATACAAATGAGGTTATTATATAATAATTAATTTAATGCATCAATGTACTAGCACAATGACAAAGTTACAGATACGTTGCAGAGATTACGAACTGCCAACAATAGTACAGATTCGAAATTGTATTGTAGAAAAGAATAAATATTAAATTGAAAGAGTATGTGCCTTGTTTTAATTTGTAATAATTTTAGGTATATAAAAAATAAAATAAGAAATATATAAACTATAATTCTCAAAACTAACTCTGAAAAACGTCGAATTGAATACTAGAAAAAAAATATATAAATTATAAAATCAGTCAAGAACAAAAATAAAAATTTGATTACAAATATTAGGTGTACAAATACATATATAATCCTATTTTTCATACAATGCAAAAAAATTAAATTTTATTTATTCTTGTGCCATTTTGCAGTGTGATAGCACTTTCATGACTTTATTAAAACGGCGTATGGTTCTAATTGATTACATTTAGTTTATATATTTAATACATAATATCTGACATAAGATGTTAGATTCTTTGCATTTTATTTTTTTAAATATCTTGCTAAATAATGAGCGGATAAATATTTTGTCAAATAACAGATGACAGAAGCGAAAAATTACTATTTCAGTATACATATGTATACGTTTTTAAACACTTTGGTCGAAATAGTAACGTAGATAATGAAATTAAAAACATCAATAATAATTAATAACCGATTAATTCTGTTTAGATGAAGGAGCTATCCTATCGAAGTTTGGCCGTTATTTTTTGATCCTCTTAAATTTATAAGTAATATTGCTACGCATATACGTTGATATATTTTTAGAATTCAAGCTCTATAAGTAATAATCTAAATTTAATAAAATAATAATATAGAAATAAGTAGCATATATTAATTCTACACACGATTCAATGGAATCAATGTTCGTATTATGGCGTTTGCTGTAAATGTTCGCTTGGATTTTCTCGAATGCAAAACAACATGACAATGCGCATGGAATGAATAATGCGAGACAAGAATAAAGAATATTTCCGGCGAACGGCGATTCGGTCAAACGATACATCGAACGTATTTGAAATTCATCAGAGCTAAGAAAGATAAGATCGATAAATTAACGCAATATTAGAGGAAAATTTTCCACATTATATATTTTCTTTCCTCAATATACATATTTACTTTAATAATATCAACAATTATTAATCATAAATTTTCAATTTTAACAATTAATTTATTCTTTGTAATGAAATCACTAATTAAATATTTACCTAACTACACTAATTAAATGCTGTTTTTTTATTATATTTCATTCATAATTTATTTAAATATTTAATAGTATAAATAATCTGAGTTAAATTAGATTCTTCGCATTTTATTTTTAAATATCTTGTTAAAGAATAAGCGGGTAAATATTTTACCAAATAAAAATAAATAATACAAGACGACAGATATACGCAGGATAAAATATATAACTTGTTTCCGACGTGGCCCTTTTGGGACATCCTGTTTTGTGCGTATGCAAGTCCGCTTCTTTCTCATGGCAGTGTATTCATGACCGGGAGACGAAGGAATGTAGATTTTCTTGTTGCCAACTTGATGCCACAGTGCATTTCAGGTCTTCTTCTTCTTGGCAAGGCAAGGTGTAATCTACGAACTCGGCTTTCTCAAACAGGAATTGCACGTGCATACATCGACCAATATGAAGATGTTCCACGGCAAACTATTGATAGGATGTAGTGACCGGCGAATAAAAGAATGCAATTTTTTCAATGTAACGTAAAATTACGGCCGTTTGTGTTGATTAAAATAAATAATTAAATAAACAAGTAATTGGCAACAAATAAGGGGCTATAAAAATTCAAAAAACTATTCAATAATAATCTCATGCTACTTTCAAAGTTGTACTTTTTTTATATTGCTATATAATTAAACATTCCATTTTTTTCAAATATATACTAAAGTTTTAAAACTATTTGTCAAATATCTCATTCATTTTCTAGTTCTAATTATCAAATATTAAAAATAGGTTTAAAACTAACAATTTAAAATAAGACAAAACTTATCTGTATAAATCTAAACAAAATTTATTTAAAAATAACAAAAAAATACATATAGCACTTTAATATTTACAAAAAAATCAATATGTTCAAAGAAACAATTTCGACAAAAAAATTTTTCGGTTCTTCAGATAAGTTTTCTTAATTTTAGGTAAAAAAATTTTTTTTAAGAATACATGATCTAGTGGACCGAATATATTGTCAAAATACGTTCAAAGTACTAAAAAGCTGTTTTTTTTTAAATAGTTTTTTATACTTTTATCAAAATATCCGGAATTAACCATACATTCAGATTTATTTTGAGAAAATATAAAACTTCTCATTCGTTAATTAACTTAGAAAGTATTTATGATGTAAAACAAAAGTATTTTATATCGATACATTCTTATATTTTTATCAATAAAAAGTTGTACATTTTTCAAAAATGTTAACCACTCATTAGTAGGTCATTTTTCGAAAAACAAATAGGTTTAATACCTAAAAAAAAAATATAAAAAAAAAAGAAATTTGCCATACTCTCATCTCGGAAGCGAGTAAGCTAAGGAAGACAGGGAGAAAGAGAAAGGGGAAAGGAAAAAAGAGGAAGGGAGAAAGAGGGAGGGGAGGAGAGATGAAAAGGAAAAGGGAAAGAGGAGGGAGAAGAACGGAGGAGAGAATGTGCCAAAGGAGAGGAGGAATAAAGTCTGAATTGAAGCTTTAATTCTACGTGCTTTGGGCCTGGACGATCAGTACGAATGAAACGTAACGTTGAATAACACAAAAAGGCCTGAAAAGCGATCGTGACGAGAACAATTTAAAAATTAACAAAAAAAATTGCAGAATTAAGTAAAACCGCGCGAAATTATAAGCAAGACTTCGTGAAATGTAATGGTGAAATTCTTTTTTGGAATTTACAAGTAATTCTATAAATGGTGATAAATTTGTATTAGTGGTGACAATGTGATTGTTAAATTTTCTTATCTCATCGAACAGGCAATTGTATTAATAAATATATAACAACGTCACACATTTGTGCAAATATTATTTGTGGCGTAAGTGACTCGGAAGAGTAGATCAAGTTGGATAGATCACATTGTGCAGGACACTTAAATAAGTACGTGATAATTTAAAGTAGGTGTGCAGTGCAAATTGATAGTAATTGCTCTCAATTATATTTGCTTATTAATATATTTGCATTATACTTAATATTTTTAATGTTCAATTAATCTAAAATATTTACAAATATTGTGGTGATATCTAATATTCATATAATATATCAATTCTCGATTAATTTCAAATCTGTATCAATTTCAAATTAATATTTTCATGCATGTGTTCCAAAACTATTGAAAATTTCAAAATCTTTTTCATTACTTATTTCTTGGCCAATTTAAAAACAATTTTTTAATAAATTTTACGACAAAATATATACTAATGCAAATTTATATCTACAAATTTATATCTACAAATTGAACAAATAAAAAACATTTTGTTTAAAATATATAAAATCTAGATGGAAAAAAAGGGAGAGAGAGAAAGAGAGAATTTGGCTTTTGTCATATAAATTTAAAATCTATAACGTGATATTTACGTATTTTATAATCGCTGGATTGCTCTAATTGTTATAAATTTTTTCGCTATTTTAGCAAGATCGTGTTTCTTTCTGTCAACGTGGTGTTAGGTTTCGCAGATTTTCAGTCGCAAAAGAAAAAAAAAGACAAAGGACAAGGCAAAGTGGGAAATTCTTTATCTTCTATTTTTGACACAGGCGACAGCGCAGGCGGCACGCCTCTTTCAATTCAATTCTTCTATGTGCGAGTATATCGACACAACGAGAAGAAGTTAACTTGTTGTAATCCGTCGAAGATTAATATAATCTGTGTCGCGTAGGTTGCGCTACATTACAAGCAGCGTATAACGGCGCATCGCGTGCATTGCACGCATCGCGCGCATCGCTTGCGGATGAATCAAAGAAAAGGACTCGATTACAATAGACATGATAACTCGTATTTCAATTGCACACATGTCCTGATTCTCTAAATAGTCTAAATCTATCTCGCAAATTATGATATAAGTTAGCAAGAATGCAATAATATAACAAGGTTTCAAGATATTTCATATATCGAATAATAAAAATTAGATAAAAATTTCATATAGTTCATTTATTAATAATTACACTTTTTAACAAATACGTGTAAGAAAATATTGGTTTAATAAATTAAAAAAAAAAGTTTTAAGGAATAATTTTTTTTCAAATAATTTAGACAATTGCTTTTTACCATTAATTGTATCCTTTTTTACAATTCTGCAATATTTATATTAAAATTTCCTTAAAATAATAAATAAAATACTAATAAAATACAATACTTTGCTTTTAAAAGTTATTCAAGTAAACAAAATTATATTAATAATTTATGTCACGTGTATAATGTTGCAAGAATGCAGTAAAAAGCAACGATGACGAGTACGCGATTACAACTATCGCTGATTTAATTTTTATCACTTTTTCTGCTGTTCTATATTTAATATGCGTCTCGAACCGAGAGCGAAAAACCATGAATACTAGCATTGATAATAAATTCTTCGAATATACGTATACGATACAGCGTGATGATCAGAGTCTCTAATAGCAAATTCGATTGGACGCATTAGTGCACATTAATGCCAATGTTGTATACTGTTCTAATCTCAACTGTAAAAGTGAAATATCTCGAATAATAAAATGCCCTGCAGTACGTATATTTTACCAAATAATACAATAAAGTGCTATCAACAATTTTTTCGCGGTTTTACCCGTTTTTACATCTATATATTAAATATATTAAATAATATCGATTTATGTACAATTTGTACATTTATATGCATTGTGTACGGTTTTAATATGCACTGATTGTGAGTACACACTAGTGCGTCCAACCGAATTTGCTATAACTTACTGATAGTGTTGGAAGTACGGGTTAAATCAGCGGTGGATCTATTTCTGTCGGTGGTTTTACAAACTATTCAGCTATATCTGTTTTACACAAAATAACACGAATTTAGCTTCTATGGCGTGCGCAGGCACGTACGCACACATACATATATCTACACTTCTATATACATATACATCTCAAAAGATCTCGCTGGAGTCTCCATGAACCATTCTCGAGACACAAAGTAAAAAATTGAAAACTCCTAATTGAATCTACAGTTACGTATTATTAACTTTTCCAAATTTTTAAATTAATTTGAATAAAGAAAGATTTTGAAAAAAATAATACAAGTCTGATTATTTTCTGAATAGTAAAAATAATATAATTAATTAATTGTAAAAGTTTTTAAGATTTTCAATTATGAGAATTTTATATACCTACACTTTTTATATCATACTATACATTTACATATACTTATGTACTTTCATACAATAGTGTGTACTGTCAATTATCGGCTCTTTTATTCATTAAATTAAATTAACATTAAGGGAAATTAATATGTAAAACTATAAGATTCTAATTTTTTTTGTAAAATTAGAATTCTAAAGATTGAAAAAGTCTTTGCAGTCTGTGCAGTTAGAACAAAGATAAATATTTTTTTTCACCCCATGGAAATAGAAAAAAAAAACATCATTTCTAAAGATGTTACTCGTGACATACAATAGGGAAAACAATCATCAAATCGATTTCAAATCAACCGATGAATTTTATTATCTATACAACTTTAGATACACTAACCTGTTTAAATATTCTGAATTATTAAAAGTTTATGAAAATATTTAACCCAAAATTTTTAAAATGTTGACACCTTGTCCTATTCGAAGCAAAAGATTATACAAGATATAATATGGATTTATTATGCAAATTTTTCATTAGAAAATCGATTATATATCAATTTGTGAGTAAATATTTAGTATATACAACCTGGCGCGTGCCTTCGATATCTCGTAAGGTACACTCTGAATGTTATAATTCATGTGTGTACGATAATCTTTAGATGGCTATAAAACACGCGCTCCGGAACAATGAGCCCGATGTCGTATTGTTATTGATGTAAATGGCGCAGGGTTAAACGACCATGAGAGAGCCTGGATAGACGGCAGTGTCATTTCGATTAAGTACGCGTACGGGCGAAGCGCATAACCGGTGTCGCATAAACGGAAATGACGTTGTAGTAACTGTATATGCATATATGCATGTATTCAAAAATCACAAAGGCCGTGGAAGTACAATACCACGAGATCCTCGATCTTATTTATATTTTGCTTCAGTTTTATTAATCGGTCTATGTATACAGATCACGGTTATCAAATACTTAAATTGACAAATTATCAAATAAAAAAGTAATAAAAGAAAGTAGCACATTTTTTTAAACTTTTTTATTGGTTTTTTAAATTATTTTATTTTAGAAGTATATTAAATGAGAGTAATATACGTTCTTATTATTAAATTTTCGTCTAAAACATTTTTTTTATATCTCAAATAGTCTGAGATGTAACGGAAAAAATTGCTAACCCAAAATAGCTTAAAATCCATTTCTAGTCTAATAATTTTTAAATTCATGTGCCTCATCTGTATATATGTAAAGTTTCATATAACAGTATGCAAAACTGCAGCAAAATATGGTCTTTGTACTGCATAAGCCATTATAAATAAAATTATTTATTGTTTCGTTCTTTGTTTACAATCAAAATTTTTTATCTCTTCAAATTCCGCTAACTTTTATTGTACAGTAAATATTAAAAAATCAAAAGAATTAAAGAAATTAAAACAATTTTAGGAAGATGCGGAAAAATATTATTATGATATTATTGCGATTAATTTGCCATATTTATGCAAACTATTATGCAACTATTAACTTAACAAAGTTCTCCCTAAAAATTAAATTAAACACAGAAATATTAATATTTTAAATATCGGTTAGTTAAATAACTTAATTGGAGTAATTTTATAAAATAAATTTCATGAAAATATCCTAGATAGATTTGCAATATAAAAAAACATGTTTTAATAAATTAAAAACGAAAGGGAATAGGGACTAATAAAACAAGCAAACAAGAGATTAGACTGTAATCGCATATATCATTTAATTTAATAATATTAAAGCGGCACGTTTCGACTTTATTAAGTCTGTTTCAGTGGCAAATACAAATTTTTCAATAATATTACTTTACTTTAATCGGAAACACGTAATGTTTTTAATAAGGGAGACTTTCATGTCTAATGTTTTAAATAAGATAATTGAGTGAATTCATCGTTATAAACTTTTTCTTTGAAAAACCTTCACGGAAAAAAAAGTAGCTGCCGTAACTAAAAACTGCGTACGGTAACTAAATTACCGTCGTAAAATATGGACTAATTAAAAAATTAATGCTAATATCTTAGCTCTGACACTTAAATTATTTAGTTAAACAAGTTTTGCAACTCAATACATAAAATTTAGCTATAAGACGTACTTCAGTTAGCAGCCATAGCAACACGTATTGCAACAATTCGTTGTAGTATGCAACTATTTATATGTAGAAGACACAACTTTTGCTGTCAACTTTTTAGTTACGGCAGCTACTTTTTTTTCCGTGTATGCACATGGTTTGTCCTAAAAGTAATGAGTATGAGTTTTTGAGTGCAGGGCACGTGAGAAGAGCCAGGAAAGGAAAACGGCGGTCGCGAGGCAATTGCAGGCGGGGGACCCTATAAGGTATACAGCCTGACTATTCTCATTGTCTCAGTTGCCGAGTCTTTCTAGCAGTCGATACCGTCAGCAAAGTGCGTTGTAATTTTTGTGACTTGTCACAAGGCCAAAATTCAGCAGTCTTGAGCAGCGATCAAATTCTGCGTGAAACTGGGAAAATCTGGTTCCGAAACCAGAGTGGAGATGTTGAGAACTGCAGCTTATCATGGGTATATGCTGCTTTGTCTTCAGCAATTGATCGCGTGTATCACTGCTCAAAATGCAGCACAGTCTTGAACAGCGTTCGGGACTATGCTGAATTTTCGCCCGTGATAAAATACAAAAATTACAAGAATGCTAGAAAAGCTCGGAGGCAACTGAGAAGAATCGGACTATATAGGACCTGCGAGGTCCCTCGCCAACTGTCTTGCAACCGCCGTTTTCCTTTCCTGGCCCTTTTCACGTGCGCACAAAAACTAGTCTCATTACTTTTGGACAAACCATGTACCTATTATTGAAATAATATGTATTTGCAGCTGAAGCAGACTTACAAGCAAAATCGAAACGTCCTGCTTTAATATTATTCAATTAAATAATATAATTATATTCTAACATTTCTTGCTTGTTTTATTAGCCTTCCTATCGTTTCCTATTGTTTTTAATTTATTTCTAAATACGAGTCAATACACAATTTTTACTTTAACAAATTTTAAAATGTTCTAATTTCAGTAAAACTTCGAAATGACTTCTAGATCAGAGGATGCACATCCAGAAATTACGGAATCCGGAGAGAGAGAAAGAAATACAGGGTGATTGATTGATGTTAACTCCACAATTTGTAATGCAACATTTTATCAAAGTTTTTTTTTATAATTTTAGAAAAAATGATGGATTTGGCAGATTATTACTAAAATTTCTAACCATTTATTGGAGATCTTTTGTTGTGGTGTTATGGCCATTAATCCTGATTCCGATATTGATCCTCGAAAGCGAAAACGTATGTCTCTTTTTATTAATTAAATTCTTATTTAAAAATTAAATAGATAGAATATACATTTTTAAGCAAACATTAGGAGTAAAAAATCTCATTAATACATTAATTTATACAGCGCAAGATTCTTTTTTTCTGACTGTAGCCATATTAAGTTGATTTCTTTCCATGATATTACTATGCACGTTAGAGTGCAGAAATATACAAAATCATTTTTTCGGTTCGTAAATTAATAAACAATCATCAATTTTTTTGTGTAGATAAATGAGATCTATTGTAAGATGTATTTTCGTTGAAAGGTATTATAGATTGAATTACAATACGAACGTATATATACGAACGTTTACCAACAATAATAGAAAAAAGTTCTCAATAATAGAATACACGGACACTAATTTATTTCAAAGTATATGTATTCATTTGCAATACAAAAAAAACTCATATATTTCCTCATTTTGGACATCATAATTTAACATATGGTTGTAGTGAGAAAATTAGAGCTGTAATGTATATACGCGGACTTAGATTCAAAATGGATATCGAAAAAGTTAAAGAATCGTTCTTTTTTCTTGCCGATGCAGCCTCTCGCAATGAAATGTTTATACATCGTTGCGTTAATGGCAATGTTCTGGGTGACTGAGGTTCTGCCATTGCCCATCACGGGTATGATCCCGGTAGTCCTATATCCATTGATGGGAATCATGTCCACCAATGAGACCTGTTTATGCTACATGAACGATACCACAATGATGTTTCTGGGCAGTTTAGTAATCGCAGTGGTAATCGAGAATTCCGGCTTGCACATGCGAATGGCGCTCCTCATTATCAGGACTATTGGTTGCAGTCATCGAAGGTGTTTTATATACGTTCTATATAATTGTATTACAAAAAACGTTTCTAGTTTTTCAGTCAAGTTGATTTACGGAAACTTTTCTCTAACTATCGAGTTTTCAGATATTGTGTAATAAAATAATGTAATGCACGTAACAAATATTTTATGTTTTTTTTTTTTAAGTATATCAATGTCATTAATTTTTTTTTCAATTAAAGCATTCAATTTATACATCATATCCCTCCCTTAATTATTTAACATTTAATAGTATTTTATCTATTTTACATATAGATATTTCTTACTTCAATTAAAAATTTCTTTTATCAATTTCTTTTGTTTTTAGACTAACATTAGGTTTATTCTTCGTAACGATGTTTATTTCGATGTGGATTTCGAACACTGCCGCTACAGCTATGATGATACCGATAATGGAAACTGTTCTCATAGAGCTCGAAGCGGTGAGTTTTCACCTTTTTCGAAATCTTGTATGATTGTGAGACATAGAAAGAAATAATTCTTCAAATTTATCTCAGCAAGGACTTGGAAACATGTTCATACAGAAAGAGGGAGCTGTCGAAGAGGAGGGCGGAGAAACGTAATTATTTATCGTCGTATAGTTTTCTTCTTTTTTTCCATTTTTTATTTTCTAGATATTTAATTTTTGAATATATTAATTCCACACAAATAAGTCCAATCATATTCTATTTCACTATAATGTAACATTGCTAATCTTTCATTTCTTTTTTTAAAGCAAGAGACCAACGCACAGTACCATGGTCTATTATCTTGTCGCAGCTTACGCATCCAGTCTCGGTGGTATCGGCACTATTGTCGGAAGTGGTACCAATTTAACGTTGAAGGGCTTTTTAGAGAAGTACGTGCACGTAGTCGTAACAAAGATATCTCAGGATGCATTTATAATGCACACGAGAATTATGATAGATTCTTTTCTAAAAAAAAGCATGACATCGCGTCTCTCGAGGTATTGTTGTCGCTTTTTCGTGCCAATCGATGTCAATTGATTCTCGCAGCGCTTATTTCGTGAGCGCGGTTGACATGCTAGTATATGTAATATTTATACAGCTATTTATATATACAATTAATTTTAAATTCAAGTTTGTTATGCATCTAATTTCTTTCGTCATTTGTTCTTTCATCAATTTAGGAGAAATAATGACGTTTATGAAATTTAATTTCATTTCCAGACGTTTTCCTGATAGTCCCGGCATAAATTTTGCTTCTTGGATGTTGTATGCAGTGCCACCCATGCTATTAATGGGTTTGCTCACATGGTTGTGGCTGCAGGTGATGTACATGGGTCTCTTTAGACCAGAAAGCAAAGATGCTCGTGCCATAGATATTGGACAACAGGGTGAGCGCGTCGCAGCGGCAGTTATCGAAAAGAGGTACAAGGAACTTGGACCGATCTCATGGCATGAGTCCTCCGTGGGTGTCTTATTTATTTTTGTAGTGCTCTTATGGTTCTTCAGAAGCCCTGGTTTTATGCCGGGCTGGGCCGCTTATATCACAAACTTGTAAGTATTGATGAGAATCAGGTGACGTAAAATATTATATGTGTGTGAGAGAGACTTTCGTCATTGCAAAATAAAATTTTATTATGCGTTATTATGAACATAATTAAATGATAAGAAAGGACTAACAAAAACTAACTATATATATATATTATAATTTCGGTAAAATTATCGAGTATAATTCTCCTAATTTCGTAATTTTTTTTAAAAATTTAATAGGATTTAAATTTAATAAAATCTATATTTAGATCGTAATCTGAAATGCAATTAAAAAAATGAAAAAAATAATAAGTTAAAGAGAATAGAAAAAATAATTGGAATTTTTTAATTTTTTCGTAGGTCTGTTAAGGATTCGACAGCAGCCGCGTGTGTAACGATACTATTTTTTATTATTCCGTCCAAGTTGGACTTTCTGTACGCATTCAGCAAGGATCCGCGTAAACGACCAACAAAATCATCGCTTGGTTTAATAACATGGAAGATGATAAATGAGAAAATGCATTGGAGTTTAATATTTGTATTAGGTGGTGGGTTTGCTATCTCAGCAGGTAGCACTTCATCGGGTCTGTCAGGGATGCTTGGTCAGTACTTGATAGGTCTGCAAAAGATTAATGTGGTGGCAATATTGCTAATTGTCTGCTTCTTCGCCGAGAATGTGACAGAACTAACGGCTAACGTGGCTGTCGCGAATATTATACTGCCAGTATTAGCGGAAATGGTGAGTACAGTGAGATTAACAATAAACTTTGGTGCAAAACAAAGATCAATTAATTAAGTTAAAGTAATAAAAAGATTTAGAGTTTATTTTCTATGTTTCTATAATAAAATATTATAAAATGGGTTAGCCCATTGTTACTTACAGTAAGTCAATCGTTACTTACAATATTTTAGAAAAAGAATATATTGCAAATAAAAGTTTCATAGTCTTTAGAAGAAGTCAGTAAAATGCATACGATAAAAATCTATTTGTATTTGAAAAAGAAATGCAATTTGCATTGCATAGTATAATTTTCCATCATATTTCTTACAATTTCTTAAAACTTTTTATTTAAATAATTTTCATTTTTTTTTTAAAACAAGAAACAATTAAATTATTTTTCATGCTATCATGATTAAAATGAATATAATCTGTATAGTATGTTTATGTAACGTCTCTGCTATTATTGTTAGCTAATATTTTCTCACACGCAATGGCAGATATCGTACACTGACATACGTTAAAATAAATTTTTCATTTAAAATATATTTGTTGGCATCAGAATTTTCAGAAAATTTTCCTCGGCCTTGCCAAACAAGATTACCCATTTTATCCTGCTTATACAATAATATAAATAGTATAAGCTAATTTCTAAGAATTATAACTATAAGATAATTATAGTTAAAACACATAATACTATATGTATATATAGTTATAAGAATTCTAAGAAAGCTTCATTTTTCTTTTTTTTTTTTCAGTGTGTGGCTATTAAAATACATCCTTTATATCTAATGCTGCCAGCGGCACTCTGTTGTTCCTTTTCGTTTCATCTACCAGTCGGTACTCCACCAAATGCAATTGCTAGTGCCGCGGGACGTATAAAGACAAAAGATTTTATGATTGCTGGTATTGGTCCCAGTATTATCACGCTGGTTATTACTGCAATAACGTTCTCCACTTGGGGTACATACGTATTTAATTTATCGGAATTCCCCGAATGGGCTACATAGCAGTACTTACGCAGCGTAAATTTCTTTTTATTCAATATTTATTTATATTTCATTTTGCTAAAGAGCGAAGAATTATTTTTACAACGACAAGAGTACTACTCGCACCACATTTTTTTATTTTCTCCTCTAACCAAATTCATTTTCTATATATTTTTTTACAAGTTTCAAATATATGCAATGTTTTTAAGGAATAAACACAATAGTAAAACAATCTCAGTAAAAAGAATAGACTGTAAATCAAACCATGCCTTGTGTGTCAGTAATATTATCATAGACAGAGTATTGCCATATGTATATTGAAGATAATAATGGGTGTATGATATCTTTAGAACAGTTTCATATGTAAAGCGATATTATTTTTTATGAGATATTTTATATCCAATTTATAATATCAAGTACATTCTCAAATGATATTTTCTATGATGATATCTCAATTATATTTTTGAGCTTATATATAATTGTTGCCTTAATAATTGTCTCAACAATCAAAAACTAATGACAATATCGATATCTATGCCAATCAAAAAGCAATTTATATATATTTATCTATATACTGTAAAATTATTTATATGTATATACTATAAAATATTATTACATTCCTGATACATTATCATTATCGTCAGAAATGTACAGGGTATTTTGTGTATCTTTACCAGCTGAAATATTTCTGTTGCTTTTGATGATATGAAAAACTGTCGTAGATATAATAAAAATTGTATAATTTGAGGGGACACTTATCAGAATAGCAAGTTTTTTCTTCCAGTCTCATTGTTCTATTAAAATTTCTAAGAAATTTTAAAATTAGCATAATTTCATTAAATGGAACCATATTATATTGTTTGCGTAATATTATAAAAGATTTCAGCGACCTATGACAATACAATTCAGATAATCCTGAAGGAAGGAATTTATATATGGGATAACAGTGCACGTTATGTTCATTTAATTATAAACTATATACTTAATAAACTTGTTGACTCATCTGTAAGTAACATGTAACTAAAAAAGTATTTATCATTTTCAATTTGATATAAAGTCCATTAACGAAGATTTTCTAAATATTATTAAATGTTGTAACAAAATATAATATAAATAGAATTTGTTACATTTTAAGATTTGTCAAACATTTGTAACAGACAAATTAAAATTGCTAAAATGAGAAACGCCAAATCGAAATGTATTGACACGAAGCAAGATCCATATCACACATCATTCTCTACTTTCTACACATATAGCGTATTTTATGTTAGAATTATATATTAGATTTTATATTTTATTTCCATCACATCACAGATTTAGTGCATCAAGTGTATGCTCATTTTATTTCGTCAGTATAACGCACTGATCTCCTAACTTTTAGATATGTTACTTTTAGCGCTTAATTATTGATTTTAAACTAGTAACGGCAATTTTTGCCTGTCAAAACTTCGTTTTTGCATCAAATGAATATAGTTTCATCAAAATATAAGGTAAGGATCTTAAATCCTAACCATACAATATGAATTTTCTGTTCGTGGAAAATCAGTATGTAAGCCCACAGTTATTGAAAGAATTATAACTACCTACATTAAATTTATGTAATTCTACTCACCATCCACGTTAAAACCATGATTGATGCTATCTATTTTTTCCGCCATTTAACCGGTGTTTTCATGAAGAGGTTTGAAGTCAGGAGATCACAGGAGGCCACTTAACTACAATAAAAATGCCAACACTTTACTAAACCGTATTAACGAAATTTAAAAACATTTGCAAGTTATAATAAATAGCAAAATACAATGTAATTTTCGAACTTTATTTTATTTTGCACTCCGATAACAAATATAACCTGCAAATAATAACAGGCCTTGCTACTAAACAATTGTATAATGTGTTTACTATAAAAATATACATGGCGAAGAAAAACTTACTATCACGGTTGCTTCACAATAATTGATACTAATTAACTCAACACTTGCGACATTCTTCAATTAAACCTTAATATAAATATCAAATGACAATAAATAGTTTTGCTCCCGTTGCTTGCAATTTCACTTGTTAGCGGAGCGGAGTCCGAATTCCATCTAGCGGATACTCAAATCTAACTTAGCGAAGATCAAACCTTACCTAGCGAAGATTCCTTAAACCTCACTTAGCGAAGACTCGAACCCCACTTAGCGAAGATTCGAACCTCACTTAGCGGAGACTCGAACCACATTTAGTGGAGATTAAACCCCACTTACAATTATATAGCGAAGATCAGATTATTCTCTTACAGTTATATATGTATAATGTACATATACATACATACATACATATGTACCCTGCTGTAACTTATAGATTTCGAACTCCATTTAGCGGAGATTCGAACCTCACTTAGTGGAGATCCAAATCTTATATTATAGCGGAGTAGATTCAAACATTTATTACTTTGTCGGTACAGGATGTAACTATGTAGTACCCATTTAAAAAATGGATGTATATGTCCATACTGGCGCTAGTGTACG